AATCACGATGGAATAATGAATAATGTCACCTTTCTGTCTGTGATTTGTACAAATAATCTTCACTGTACATTGCCATATGTTTCAGTAATAAACGAGGTGAATTCATTTTGCCATTAGTGCGCGTATGCAAGTAAAAGATTGGACCAATGTATTATTTTTTTCAAGTTAGACCACGGATTGATATCAGTTAGAGAACCATTGAAAACTAGCACTGGAGTACTGGACATCTGTTTCATCCTAGTTTTGGGACTCATCGGCAGTGCGCACCCACTGGGCTTCGAACCAAGGACCTTCCGGTTACAAGGCGAGCTAGTATACCATTCAGTCACTGGGACCCGATTCAATAGCCCATGAATCCTAACTTCTACTAATTCAAGTCCCAAAACTACGATGAAATAGCTGTCCAGTACTCCCTGGCTTTTAATGGTTCTTGAACTGATATCAGTCCGTTGTCTAACGTGAAAAACAATTTATTTTTTTTTGTTTCTCTAAAAAAAGTAGTGCAGGTATGTGTTATTAGATGGTTGGAGGGAGTGTTCAGGAAGCCTTGGACCTAGGTTTCATGGTTGTTGGTAATCACCAGTCTACAAGGCGTATCTGAAGTCTTGAAGAAACTCATTTTGCTCCTGAAATTCGGACCCATATTACCCAGTGCTGTAACTAGAGTCGTTGCCACTGAGCTACTCAGGGTCGCAGTTGCTCTCCCGTAGGACTGTATTACATACCTAGGTAGCAAGTTACTGGTGTCGTGTGTCTAGTCCTTGGTGCAGACTGAAATCTATCAGTCAAGTTTACACTGCGGCCAGCATGCTAGCTGACTCAACATCCCGACTCCGAATAGCTCAGTGGCAACACCTTTAACTACAGAACTGCATGACACGGGTTCGAATCTCAGAAGGGACATGAGTTCCTTTAAGACTGCAGATACACCTTGTTGACTGGTAAGTACGGCCAACCACAAAACACAGGTCAAGCAAGGCTTTCTACCGATTGCTTTAAATGCACTAAGTCTTACTCCAAAATATGGTGGATATATGTGGATGACAATTTCACAGTGTTAAAAACAGAACATATCTCTAGCTTTTTGACACGCATAGACTCGCTAGTAAAGGAAATAAAATTCACATTTGAATCGGAAAATGAACAAAGAGAATTAGCTATGTTAGATTGTAAAATAAAACGAATAGAAGAAGGTAAACTACACACTAGTGTGTACAAAAAAACAACTCATTCTAATAGATATTTAGACTTTAATTCATCTCATCCGTTAACTGTTAAGGCAGGCTTGGTGAAGTGTCTAACAAAGTGAGCCATAGCACTAAGTAGCACAAGAAAAGACCTAAATGATGAAATAAAACAGATAGAAGAAGCGGTGGTGTTGAATAACTATCCTATCAAATTCATCAGGAAGATCAGTAAAGGTCAAAGACAAAATAAAAATAATTGTGAAACTAGTAATGATAACATAAATAAGAGTGAACATAAAGCATCTATTGTTATACCATATAAGGAGGGGACATCTGAGACCTTGTGCAGGATCATTAATAAATCAGGAATTAGGGTGACATCCAAACCTACAAACTCACTCAGTGATAAACTCTGTAGGTTAAAGAATCCTGTGGGTTGACCCAAATAGACAAAATAATGTAATTTACAAAATACCTTGCAATGACTGTGAGTGAGGTCAACTACATAGGTCAAACTAGTAGGTCACGGGTAGTCAGGTTGTCGGAACATAAGAATCTAGCTAAGCTAAGCAAGAATGGTTGACCCCACTCGCGAAGATATGTAATTTAGAAAAAAGCTCAGCTATCGCACTGCACGCATTAACACACAACCACATAATAGGATTGTGGGTGGAGGGTTAAAATTCTAAAAAGTAATCTAGGTAGGTGGAGATGGAGAGACGTTGATTACTGAATCTTTGTTCATCGAGTCTACGCCCAACACATGCAATAGGAATGACTCCTCACTCATACCGGAAATATGGAGAATACTACTACGAATAAAATCAAGTGAAAAATGATGAAACTATATAAATGAAGTTAGGAAGTCGTGTGAGTACCTTAATATGATTATGAATAGCAATAAATTGTGCTCGAAACGTCGTCATCAGTAAACATTACTCTATAACACTGAGACTTTATCAAAACTAAATTTACCCATATTGGAATTAAAAATGCTTAGTACTGGTTTTATTACAGGCGGTTTCAAAGCTGTACGACATCGGCATATGCTGTTCAACTGAATTCCAGACTTTATATCCTAACAACTAACATGTGCGGAGAAAACAACGTGGAATACACGGCCATTCTGAGCATTCTACCACACCGCACTTATACTTAGTCATAAACTATCTAATCAGTTTTAAATGATTATTAATGTGTTTCAGTACTTAAATGATGAATGTGTTTGCATTCATATATGGTCTACATAGTTCTGAAGAATAACTACAACTCCATATTTGGTTTTTCAAAATAAATATACGGATAAAAATGAGAATGAAGTTTCTTTACATATGTATCGATTATTTGGTTATTGGAGAGTAACTGATGTTATATTTATTATCCAGCTGTGCACACTGTGAATGAATTACAGAAACCGCATTTGCAATGTGACTAGAAAGTTAGAAGAATGAAAGTTATACTTTGACTGAACACTAGGTATTCAGCACTTAAGGTGATGCGTCTAGTTCTTCGTTTAGTGAACACTGTGTTCTATCAATCAAGTTTACAATGCGGCCATCATACCAGATGGCTTGACACCATAGTGCCCTCTGCAATGTTTTTATTAGATGGTTTTTGGCAACCGGAAGGAAGTAGTATTGAACCTAAGATTTGTGCTTGTTGATACTTACTGGTCAGCAGGGTTTGTTTGGAATCTTGAAGGAACCCGTGTCACCCAGTGTTACAGTCAGAAACATTATCACTGAGCTATTAGGACTCGGGATTAACCTCCTGCAGAACTGCATTAGGTACCTTGGTTGGACACTAGATAATAAGTAACTGGTGTCACGCGTCTAGTCCTGTGTTCGGTGCAGACTGAATTCTATCAGTGAAGTTATGAAAGTAGGGAGTTCCAATACATACAACTGATATATTTCTGGTCGATCTCTCGAACTAGATTCCTTCAGATAGTTATTAGGGGTTTGACAGAACTAAATTGTTGGTATCCCTGTCGTTCGCCACCCACAATCCTACAACCAATGCTTCTGTAAACAAGACCACCAGTTATAATCTACTCATAAACCTTATCAGTCCAGCCAAAGTACAAGATTTAGTAGTGATAATTTCATTTTGTGAATCCACATGAAAACCGTTTAACAATCGTTTTGACCACTGACGTGTTATTCTTCGTCTTTAAATGCCTTTCTGTTAGTGTCATCGTTTTGGTGCGACATATTCTATAATGAGTCAGTTGAATAAACTGTATTCTAGTTTATTGAGGCGGTGTGCCTTTGAGGTGTCATGAATTATTAATTGTATTCCCAGTAATAACAATAATGATTAAAATGCATGATGGAATAGTTTAACCCAACTTCAATAAATCTAACATTTAAACAAGATATAAGACTTTATTTTGTGAGTGGAATTTACGATGCACATTTCGTCCTAATTGAGATTCGTCATCTGGATGTGACTGTATTCCACAGCGAGTTATAGTGTTCCCCTGTGAAGCTCGAAATCAGCCTCCTTCGTTTCAAGCCCTAAATCTTATGCACTAGGCCGCTTTGTTTAAGTGAATTGTGTGATTACCTTGATATGATTATGAGCAATAAATTGTGCTTGAAACGTGGTCATCAGTAAATATTACTGTATAACACTGTGAGACTATCAAAATAAATTTTTCCTCTAATGGAATAATACTCTACCACAGTGCACAGGTTTTGTTTTCACACTTCGTACCGATTCCCTCCAACCATCTAATAACAGCAGTTCACAGTGCACTTAGAAGGCAAGCCTCCTGGCATGGTAGCCACATTGCTAACTTGACTGACAAAATTCAGTGCGCACCAAACAAAGGACTAAACTTATGACACAAGTTACTTATTACTTGATGCTTAATCAAAGCACAGGTATGTTTTGCTTAACAATTTCTACGATTCCACAATAAGACACATGCGAAACCTTTTAATTTTCCCTGCTTGTACAATATGTCTGACTGACTAACTAACTGGTTTCAGGATTTCATCATGAGCTGACATTGGTTAGAGAACCATTGGAAAACCTGGGAGTACTGGACAACTGTTTCGTCCTAGTTTGGGACTCTTCAGTAGTATGCACCCACCGGGTCCCAGTGGCTTAATGGTATACGAGCTCGTCTTGTAACCGGAAGGTCCAGGGTTTGAATCCCGGTGGGTGTGTACTGCTGAAGAGTCCCAAACTAGGACGAAACAGCTGTCCAGTACTCCCAGGTTTTCCAATGGTTCTCTAACCAATATCAGCTCATGATGAAATCCTGAAACCCAACGAATCCCTACAAACCAGCACTTGAATAACTGTTTTCAACATGAAACTTTGCACAGATGTGCAGCAGTTCGAGTTGCCAGTCTCCATGTTCACCACACAAAGTGAGAGAAGAGAGCAAAGAGAGATAATAAACAAAATTGTGAGGGAAAAAGAATAGTCATATGGAAGGGAAATAGGATTTTATTGGAAATGACAAATCACAAAGTGAATGCATCTGCGCCATTCACAACAATTTTGAGTCGTGTATCACCAGTTGTCTCCAGTCACCATTGCATCTTGATGAGCCTAAGCATTCAAGTAGTGTACACCTCCATATATGACTAGTTTAAACTAAACTTTTATGGATTTCACTGGCTGATGAAGCCATGTTTTGGTTTGATTACCACGTGCTAGCTCTTTTCCAACTTGATCGACCCTATGTCAGCTAACATTGCTCCTCGAGGAAGGCAATGGCTAGGCATGCTTAACAGTGTGTATGAAAAGATATATTTTTGTTAAAATGTTTGGTATTTTGTTTTCCTCTTTTGTTAGATTGTTTGCGGTCAAGATCATAGCCTTTTGCTTAGTTCAGATGGTGTTGTTTATTCCTGTGGACTTGGATCAGACGGACAGACAGGTTTAGGCCATTACGATACAGTTGATCGGTTTACCGCTGTTAAGGGTGAATTAGAAAATGAACGTGTTCGGTGAGTTCCTATCCTATTATTTCCTATTTCACTCTCAATCTTATTTTAAAATCAGGTTACTTGTTCATCCCAATACGTGTGATTGTCAGCTTCGTTTGTAGAGTTTGTATGATTCACGAATTGTACGCACTTCTTCAATGAAGTCATTAAACTTTATTAATTTCACAGCTAATAATGTTAGTAATTGGTTTTAGCTTTGCATACTCGTTTCTGTTGTTGTTTTTTTGTCTGGATGGCTAATAAGCTCACATTATACCTTTCCACACTTTCTTTTTTATCCACAAAGTTTACTATCATCTCGTGGTGACACTGTACTTGCGCTGACTGAATCCAACAAACTTTTTGCTTGGGGTAATAATGAATACGGTCAAATATGGCCAATCGATCAGAATGTACAAGTTGCAAAACCTGTTCATTTGAATTTAGATCAGTGTATTGTCCCGCCTGAATCAAATGTCCCAGCAGATAGTGTTCATATCGGAGAGATACAGTCAATTGGTTGTGCTGGTTCTATGTGTTGTATAGTCAACAAAATTGGACAGGTAGTCTCTTTATCTTATATAACTTTATTTATAACTATTGTTGAATACTGTGCTTCAATTTATAGTAGTTATTTATTGCAGCTTGTGTGTTAGGTAAACTGGTAAATAAGTGTACAGTTTCAAAAAGAATGTTTAACTGTAAGTGGTTTTTGATGCCTGTATGTATTACCCGTTTATTTCCTTCATCTCTAAGCAAGTCATTCACCTATTGCACTTTTAAATCTCCTACAATCATTTTAATGATCCTGCTTCTCCATCATCTGTTAACCAACTAACTGGGGTTGAATAAAGCAAGAACAACAGTGGTTTGTGCAGAATAATATGGTATCATCATTTATTTCGTTGGTTTCTCATCAGCTGCTGCTCAGAGCCTAAATAAATGATGAGGTTTAAGTACAGAAAAGTTTCAACATACTTGCAAATTTTACATGTTGTCAGTTGACAGAAAGTTCCACAATTAGTAGTAAACAGTGCTGAGAAAATTGCGCTTATATAGTTTTTTTTACAGGCAGTTCAAGTTTAAACAAAAAAATAATAAATGTATGCATGTAATGGTAAAGGAGTTACGTAATAAAGATGAGATATGCGTTATATACAGAGTGACTAATAAATTAGGTAACAATGTACTGAGTTCAACTCAAATCAGAGAAACAAGAGACAAGCAAAATTACAGATTATAAAAGGAGCGTGAGGTTAAAGACAAAGATTATGTAATCAGATGAGAGAAAAAAGACATCCAGTTACCAGGGCAAGGAAGGACTGATAACTGCTTCTTTCTGAACACATAAATCTGGTTTGAAGCGTTTGATGGAAGTTGCTTCGGAAAACTTGAGGAGAATGAAGCTCCTTTGTCTATTAATAATTTTAAAGGATTTCTCGATTTCCACCGCATGACCCGTGTCGAGGAGATGCCTAGCGACGGCACTGTTTAAAGCATTTGTTCCTTTTAGACGTAAGCTTTTTGGTACATGTTCAGAAAATCCTAGATATGCCCTTCTTTCTGTCCTTCCAATGTAACTGCTCCCGAAGATACATGCGAATGTGTATATACAGTTGGAGTTAACATGAGAAGGATATGTATCGATTTTTGATTGCACCAAAGAGCAAGTTGTTCGATAGACGGAAACGAGCTTAGCTGCAGGATAGGATATGGCTAGTGATGTATTCAGCGTTCTTTTGGTCATTGCTGCAAGGTTTTCCCCTTTATAATCAAGCTGAAAGTAGGCTGGCTTTTTACCCACTGATTTGTTTTAACTATGTGACTTCAGATCTTCCATACTTGTTGATGAACCTTTGAGTGTACCCATTGCTCTTCAGTGTCTTTTCGAGAAACTCAATTTCTTCTTATTTCTCTATAGAGCATATTCTCCTCGCTCTATAGTACAGAGTCTTGACTAGACCGCGTTTAAAGCTATTTGGACAAAAGCCGTTAAAATGTAAGTATTGTCCTTTCCATGTAGGCTTTCGATAAATTGACTTTTGAAGACTACCGTCTTCTAGGCGTTCCTTGGCAATGTCGAGGAGGTGAAACTTCCCGTACGTAAACCTCATAATTTATTTAGGCTGTAAGTGCCAGCTGATGAGAAGCCAAAGAAATAAACAATGATGGTACCATATTATTCTGTCTGTCTGTCTGTTTTCGACATAGAACTTTGCACAAATGTGCGGAAGTTCAAGTCGCCACACTCCGTGTAGCACGCGAAGCAAGAGAAGAAAGTACAAGAAAAGCATAATAGAAACAGTAAGCAGAGGTGTGAGACAAAGGAGTAATAAAGAAAAACAAAACAGTTTCATTGGAGATCATAAGTCGCAAGGAGTGGATGCATCTGCGCCACTGAGAACGGTTTTGAGCCATGTCACCAATTGTTTCCAACCATAGATTTTTACCGTCCCGAGGACCCCAGTCTGGAAGTCTACACCTTCCTACGTGGCTGGCTTAGACCAACTGTTGTGGATTTCATTGACTGGTGCCATATTATTCTGCACAAACCACACTGTTGTTCTTGCTTTATTCAAATTCATCAAGGGGAATAAATGCATGAAGTAACTAGGATTAGGCAAAAAAGCACCTGGTTTCACTGCACAATATTTGCTAAAATTTGTGTCAGTTTTCTTTTTGTCTGTAAATCATATTCACAATCTACAATGTGCACAGTTCGACTAGGTGAAATTTCAACACAGTTTCATTTCGAAAGCGAGATACGAATCAGATCACACACTATGTGATCTGGCCGGTTGATACCATAAATGGTAGTCATGAGATTGAAGCATTTTGCATGAAACTATAAACTGCTGATTGATTGAGATGAGTAGTTGCATACCCAGTCGTATCACTGAGTAGTGCTTGCTAGCCAGACTGGAGTCGTCTAGACACTGGATGGCCGTCTCTCTCGTATGTAGCCGACCTCATCAGCAGGTTTGACTAAGCTCAGACAGCTGAATAGCTTCAGACCACCAGATGTATGGCTAGCTAATTTTCTATTGTAACATTGTAACAGCAGCAGGCAAGACACGTAAGCCAAGGTATATTTTCAAGTGATCGAACCGCCATTTATAATATATACAGTTTATATTCTGTAAGTAATCACTGTGAGGGTGTGATTTTAGTTTACATTAAACAACGTGAAATAGAGTCTTCAAATGCACATAAAGTATTCTGTTGCTTATGCACTATTGAATGTGGGATTAATATTCCGTTGGAACCCATCGTGTGTATCACACCACCACAATACTGTTATTGCTGTCTTCTTGGGTTCCGAGTGGAACGTAGGGCTTCAGTAGCGCATCTCTACTTCGTCCTATTCTCAGCGATCCCCTTCAGCTGGCCCTATGATTTCCAATAATCTCTCATCTCCTCCCACCAAGTTACATAGACTAAGATGGCTAGGTCACGTGCTGCGCATGCCTAACCACCGCCTCCCCCGACGGGCATTGCTAGCTGATATAGGTGCAGGTTGGAAAAGAGCCAGTGGTGGCCAAACAAAAACATGGCCTCATCAATCCATGAAATCCTTGACAGTTAAACTGAGTCAGGTAGGGAGATGCAGACTTCCGGGTTGGGGCCCTCGGGACTCTAGGAATCAATGGCTGGAGACAATAGGTGACATGGCTCAAAATCGTTGTCAATGGCCAGCGCAGATGTATTCAGTCTCTGTAATCTTTCATATTCCTTTCTACCATTACCCATTCTGTTTCACTCTTATACTTGTCAGACTGTATTGATTCTCTTCACTCATCTTCTTGTCTACCTCTGTGTGCTATTTGGAACGTGGCAACTGGAACTGCTGCACTTCGGTGCCAAGTTCTATGTTGAATCCAGACAGATAGACCCTACACCATCTCCCTCAGTCACCCTTGTAACCATGCTTGACTTGTCGTCTGGCATGCAAACTCCGCTCGAGAGCTGGTCTGCGTGCGGTCACCTAACAGTCACCTCAGTCTGTGTCCAATCAGTGTCCATTTTTTGCGGGATATTTGTTGAGCAGTAGGCTATTGATTGGTTCGTTGGTTGCTAATATTTTCTAGCCTGCCATCTGATTTTCAGTATGGAGCTAGCGAAGACAACTGTTGATGAAAGTCTTCAGTATGTTGTTTGGAATGCGCTTCGTGACTATCAAAACAATTTTCTGAATCGTATAGGAAAACTAAATGACCTGACATTGGTGCTCAAAATCCGCATTTTTTGTTAACGCTGAGCACAGAAGATTTCCCAACGGATATCAGAGTGATGGGTGCCTGTTTCGCCTTGTTATCGAATTAAAAACTTCATGCAATTCTTCCAATTAATAAACTTGTACCAGGATAATATGAGATCATCTTTTATTATTTCGAGGATTCTTCTCAACTGGTTACAACCCGAAAGTTAAAAAATATGAATTACATTAAAGATATGAACATACTTTTCCACGATCATAAGACGTAATTGGTAGGAATTAAAAGTAACATTAGTCCCGAATAATTTAACTGATTAGGAGTTACAAACACTGACTATTTATAGAATAATTAGACAATTAGGCTTGGAAACAAAAAACAGGGTTGCGTATATATGTGTGTGTATAGAAACAAGGTTTAGCTAGAAAGAGCATAACAAACAAGTAGATTACGTAACTAAAGAAAATGTCTTATCTAACAGACAATAGAAAAAAGGAAAGAAAAGAAACAAGGAAGGCTGAGCCATGTTTAGATGAGAGAGTAGAGTTTTCTAAACATGAAAAAAATGACTCATATATTTTTTGTTATCACCAGGGTAGTGCAAGATTCACCACTGTCTCTTTCTGCGTACATAGATTTGGTTTAAGTCGTTTGATGGGAATAGCTTAAGCAAAGCGTAGCAAGCTAGGTTTGTTTTACTTGTTGATTATTTTGAACGACTTCAGGTTGTCTACGATATGACCAGTGTCCAATAGATGACAAGCAATCGCACTGTTTAATGCTTGCGGACCTTTCAATCTCAGGTTCTTTGGTATGTGTTCATAAATGCGGACACTAACCCTTCTCTCTGTTCTTCCAACGTATGTGCTTTGGCACGTACATGTAAATTGGTAGATACAGTTGGAGGTGACATGAGGTGGGTATTTGTCCACTTCTGATTGTCTCAAACAACTAGTTGTTTGATAAACATATGCAAACTTGGCGGCTGGATATGTTCTTTTCAAGGCAGCGTTCAGTCTGCATCTTATTCTACTAGCAGTATCATCACCTTTGAATGCAAGCTGCAGAAAGATAGGCTTTTTATCTACTGTGCTGCTTTTCATTTTTTCAACATGACGTCTCCCATACTTGTCGATGAACTTTTGTGGGTAACCGTTGTCGCGTAGCATTTCTCCACAATGGATAGCTCTTCCTCAATCTTTTCTTTTGAACACAGTTTCCTCACACGATCAAATAATGTTCTCACTAATCCCTTTTTGTAGCTTATAGGGCAGAAGCTTTTGAAGTTAAGATAAACCGCCCTCCAGGTCTCTTTTCTGTGTATATCATGATTTTGCCGTCTTTATCTCGTTGGATACCCAAGTCAATACAATGGAACTTCTCCTCTTTTTCTTACTCCATTGTGAACTTCACTTGAACTTGACAAGACTTTTAATACTTGAGATGCATCATTGAAGGAATTACAAATAACGAAGGTGTCATCGACATACCTGGTATAGAAATTTGTCTGACTGATTGCGGATTTTAACCGTGTTTGTTCTACACTACCCATAAAAATATCTGTCAGAACCGGACCCAGGGGGCTTCCCATGGCGACTCCGTCAATTTGGCGGTATAGAGTGTTGAACTGGAACTGTACGTCTTTGGTACACATAAGTAAAAGTTGTTTGAGTCCGTTCTTAGGCAGAGGAAGAAGTTCGGCATGTTGACATATATTTTGTATTGTTTCCTCCCGTGGGATCTTTGTAAACAGTGAAGACACATCGAAGGATACTATACATTTGAGATGTTTAGATTCTCGAATCGTTTAGCGAACTGGAATGTGTCTTTCAGGCTGCAGACTGCTAATTTGCCACGGATTTGTTCTAACACTTCTGCTAGCCACCTAGCTACTTTGTGATACGCCGAATTAATCATAGATAATATTGGTATCATAGGGATGTCAGGCTTATGCATCTTTGGTAAGCCATACAGGTAAGGCAATCTGGATCCCTTAGGCTTCAGTTCGTTGTATATGTTGTTGTCAGTCAACTTCTTCTTTAAAAGTTCTCTTAGCTTCTTTGTAATCTATCTTTCCATCGATTCCCTTTGATCTTTCTTCGATGGATCAGTTCGAAATGTTGATGAGTCATTCAGAACTGATTCCACTTTTTTCACATAATTATCTTTATCCATTATCACAACACCTGACCTTTTGTCAGGTCGGAGAATAACAATAGATTCATTTTTCATCAAGTTTCTTAATGCTATTTGGTGATCTTCCGACAAAAGTGTAGATTTTGGCTTCGGTTATATGATATATTGATTAGCAATGTCGACAAGTAGAGATTTAAACCAACCTTGCTTTTTCGTCATCTGCTGGTTTTAATTTGGACAGTTGATGGTATAAACCTTCGAACTGGGTTTCGACATCAATTTTGTTGGTTAATTTCTTTGGAATGTGGAATCTGAATCCTAAAGAAAGTGCTTCTGTTATTTATCTGACTCAGGTTATAACTTGAGAAGTTGAATACGAATTCATCAGGATTCTCCGGAATTCCTTCACATAGTGTTTCTTTAACCAGCGTCTTCGGTAAAGTTTTCTCGAATTTTATTATCATAATTTATTTATCATAATTACTTTTCTCATTTAATTTCAAATTCCTCAAGATTTATTAAAACTTCTTTGCTTATTATTTATTTATTTATTTATCTATCTATCCTAGGTGTTTGTCTGGGGTTTCGGATGTATTGGATTAGGTCCAAAAGTGAACTGTGCACCACGGCCAACATTAATCCCTCCAGGTTTATTTATGCCAGCAAGTGTTAACAGTCCATCACGGATAAATTATATCGCCTCTGGTTTATATCATTTCATTGCTCAAAATACTGATGGTATATTATGGGCATGGGGTGCACCACGTGGTGGGTTATACTGTCTTGGTTTAGGTGCACAAGTGACTAAAACAGCAACTGACCAGACATTTCCAATGCCATTACTTCTTCCAATCAAAGCTACACAAGTAGTGTGCGGTGTTGATCACACTGTAGTTATTGGCAAGTCATTCAGTTGAGAGATGGTGGTGGTCTCTTACTCATCAATGCTCTATTGATTACTATATGAAACAAAAAGACTACATGACAGGAATAGAAACAAGCAACTGCATTTACGCTGTTGTAAATACTCCATCCTATTCTGATGACCAGTGAATTGAATAAAAAAAGCATATTTAACATTCCTACTATTGTGTGTGTGTGTGTGTGTGTAAATTATCATTGTGTGTATAGTAATAAAAAAATTTTGAAAATGTGTGTGAGTTATTATTTCACTTGATCTTTATTTTGGTTTGTATGTCAGCATTGTTTTAGACTTCACTGTCGTCAGTGAACACACTGTTTGGCGGTGGTGTTGGGGAACGTAAACGTAATTAATCTCAGTAATTTTTGTTGCATTACAGTCGTTACGGTTCACTGAGATTATGTGAATTCTAGTAACTGATGATGATAGATCACTACAGTAGAAAAAAGGGTAATGAATGAATCTGCACGCTTGAGAACGATTTCGACCTATGCCACCAGAAGCAATCCCAGTTATTGGATCTTAGCGACTCAAAGACCCAATTCAGACTAGTCTACACATACCATTCGTGGCTCAAACCAACAGTCAAAGGTCCCATTTAGTCTAATCGCTCGAAACTTTCTTACAAATAACTCCTATATGCTCCAACATTGTTCGTCTAGGGAGGCAGGGACTTGACTAATTCCCCCCCCCCCTATTTAACACTCTGCGTCTAACCTCATTATTAATAACCATAACTCGAGGAGTAGTGTGCAGATACATCGGTGGCAGGGGGAGATGTCTAAGCTCGTCATATCTTCCACGTTCAATGGCCATATCTCACAGATATAAGTAGGGACAGAGGGAACTGTCGCTCAGTAGGCTTCTCCTTAGCTTTTACTTGCCTATCAGTCACTGTTGAAATGATATTCAAAGGCTGGACTAACTAAGTTTTTTCACCACTTATCCCCATTACTTACAAAGATCGTAAGTCACCCACACAGGTGTTTGACTTTTTTCATTGTACTTATAGGGTGCACATGTGTGTATAGTTGGAATAATTATTAATACTTTTGTAATGGTGTATGTAACTAGAATGAATCTTATCCCTTCATTCTTATGTAGTTTTACTCGTTTTAACCTCTCCCTTATTGGGAATCAGGTCAATTCTGAACAGCTGTAATTATGGGGACAGCGCTGATACACACATATGTCCATAAGTTCAAGTTGCCACTACTCGAAAAATCAAACAAAAATGTGCAAATAATATATGAGATGGTGAATTATTTAAAACCATCATGACGATGATTATTGTGAAGATAAGAAGTCAATGCACGTAAACCGATAGAGAAGATTTGTAGCTCAGGTGGATGATTTTGATGTGATTGTGTTCTCTGAGCTGGATAGTTAATTTGCAAAGCAACCACTGTGAATGATTATGGCTTACATCAAAATAACTCCTAAGCAATCCAGATGATGCTGTCAGGTAAATCAAATCTGCCTATGACAGCAGTGATGATGGGGACATGTGTTACACATGCCTAGCCATCACCTTCCTCGATGAGCAATGTTAAGTGACATAGGTTCGATCAGGCTGGAAAAGAGCTAGCACGTGGTGGTCAAACCAAAACATAGAGTCAGTCCATGAAATCTTCGACAGTTAGTTTGAGCTGGTCATCTAGGAATGTCTAGACTGCTTGACTGGTTAGGGTACTCGGGATGGTAAGAACCAATAGTGACTAGAGACAACTGGTTATCTGGCTCAAAATCATCCTCATTGGTAGGCGCAGATTCATTCACTCACTGTGTAGTCTGCCATATCTAATAAAACTTAATTGTGTTACTATTCTCTGTTGCTCACATTTCTGCTTATTATCGTTCGTGTGAATCTATTTTCTTCACTCTTTTGTCTTCGTTTGTGGGCTTCATAAAGAGTGGTGACACGAACTGTTGTACTTCTGTCATGACGGGTTTTATTAGTGATATTCTTAATTGTGGTGGACTGGATTACGCGTCAGACTGTGCGTGGGAGCGAGGAGACAGGAGTGTACTAGATCACCGATAAGAAGACCCTAGAAGATCTGGATTTCGGAGATGATATATATCTATCTCACAAACTTGAAGACCTACAGACGAAAGCCAACAAACTGGCTGAATTGGCAGCAAAGAACAGGACTGCAGGTAAACATAGAGAAGACGGAGTTGACGAAGATAACCAACCTTTTTGATGTGGTTTTGTTCTCTGAGCTGGGTGGTTAGTTTGCGAAGCTTTCATCACCCTACTGGGTGACATCTTCAGCGCATACTTCAATTTGAAGTGAGCTTTTAGATTTCTCCACGAGTTTATTAATCATCCCTCCTGGTGACCGTGGACGTGATTGGTTGTTTATGTGTGTTTTCACACCTTCTAGGTTACTTGTATTGCAACTGATTGTTTCTTTGACTTGAACTTTGACCCTTTGTGTGTGAAGTTGCTTTCTTATTGGTTGATAAATTTCGTCTATCTCGATGTGTCTATTGATTGATGATTCACTGGAATGCCAAGCTTCTAAAAATTCTCTAGCATTCTTGTTATTTCCTTTGTCTAATATTTGAACGTTGTCCCAGTCGAATTGATGTACGTTGTTGTCTGTGTGTAGTGAAATGAGGGAGTGGATATCATGTCTTTTGACGGCTAGCTTATGATCATGGATACGAAGACGAAGGGGACGTCCACTTTGGCCAATGTAGTGTTTTTCGCAGTTGTTACAACTTATTTTGTAGATGATGTTGGTTTTGTCTTCTTTCGCTGTTGAGTCTTTTGGTTGACATAGAATTGAGTGCAGCGACTTTGTTGGTTTGTGTACGACGTCAATTCCTTAAGGTTTGAAGAGTCTTGTAGTGATTTCTGAGATATCCTTTATGTATGGTAAGGCGACTTTCTTTGTGCTTTCCTTGGTGGCCAACCAACCAATCACCATCAACGGGAGAGATTTGACAGATGTTACCTCCTTCAATTATCTAAGAAGGATCATTTTTCAACCACAGGCCAGTGGAACGGATAAGGTTGTCAAAGCAGGCCAGAATCGGAATGGCAAGATACTCCTTCATCAACATGAAACCAGTTTGGAAATCTACTGCACTCCGGAGTATAAAGAACATGTTTCGGATTCTCAGCACAAATGTGAAGTCAGTCAGTGCTTTCATATGGGTGAGAAACTTTGCTGGCGTGTTATGAAAAGCATTTCCAACTCACAACTACAGACTTTTTATAAGCAACTGCGTTCTCTGGCTCCATACTGAAGATCAAATGCCTGCTAGGAAAAAATTAGTAACAAGAAACTGTGGGAACAAACCAACCAAGAGCCATCCGCTCAACAAATATGTAGAAAAAAATGGAGATAGATCGGACATACATCGAGAAGACCATCGAATGACACCGCGCGCAATGCAGGCCATCACTTGAGTAGAATCAAAATGGGAGGCGACGAGTGGGTCACTGGTGCGAAGCTGACGTGTAGGAGATTGTGTGGGGGAGGAAGAGATGAGAGATTATGGGCAATCGTGGATCGAGCTGAAGACGATAGCAGAAAATAGGAGAAAGTGGAGACATGTTGTTGAAGCCCTATGTTCCGTTGGGAACCCAAGGGAATAATAATAATAACAATAATGTCAATTAAAACCACTCAGTGTTTTCTATCTGCTAGTATTCCTCATTTTTCACCTGATATCCTTGAAAAGTTAACCGATTTTGTGTGACCACTTCAATTTTGCTTTTTGAAAATCCTGAGAAAAATCTCTCAATCGATAATAAATGTAAGGAGGTAACACTATGGCAGAAAATAATCGAATTGATATGTATAGGCATTCAAAGTACTACTAATACCTCTTTGGTGCACCGAGGTTAGTAAAATCGTCTCACACTGATTGAAAATCTCTGACTATCCTACTAAGCTGATGATCTTCATATCTATGTGCGAGTATTTGGTTTGCACCAATTGCCTCATTTTTAACGTGTGATGAAACAACATGCAGTATATCCCTTAGCATACTTGTAATTCAACTGGATTTATCCATTCATTCATTCATTCATTTGTGTTATGAGTGGAGAACATAAGCGATCAAGCTTCGAAGTTTCACTAGCGTTGGGTAGGTTGACAGTCTTACATCCTCCTCCTTTCTGCTCCTACTATAACTGTCGAAGACAAAAGACCCGGTAAAGGAATGTTCATTTGCAATTTGGTATCTTTATACAGCCATATTATATACATTTTTTCTTCGACGCACCATATGCGCAGATCTTCCGTGTTCTGCTGTTTCTGGCCTGCCTTCATAATGTGTTTCTCTGTGTTCCCTTCACGTCTCTCATATATCTCTGCAGCGGTGTATCATTTGCTTTCTGTGATATCAAATCTATCTTCCTGTTATTTGATGTTGTTATGCCTGTGGACGTCTTTTTATATTTTTTTCATTCACGTTCCCCAGTGGAACAGAGGGCTTCAGGCTAGTGGCTTGAAGTTTCTGTAGCAGTGTTTAATTTTGCAGGATGGGGTTGCTAGCCTCATGCCCAACCTTTCCTCTTTACCAGCATTATTTCTGGCTTAGAGGGATAAAGGAGTGTGTTGGCGGCCGGGGATCGAACCCCGGACTACGTGCATGGTCGGCGAGCGTTCCAACCGCTATGCCACCGACGCATTCTGTTTATATACTACTGATAAATCGTGTCAGTAGCACACGCGTTATAATATACTACTTACTGGTCTGAAAACCAGGGCAGGTTTTGGGAGTCCAACGACTGGGAGTTGAACTTCAGACCACAAGCTGAGCTTTCGACTTCTGAATCGCCAAATAAACACACCAAATTCGGTTACAGGATTTCATCATGAGCTGACTGACATCAGTTAGAGAACCATTGGAAAACCTGCAGGGAATACTGGACAGCTGTTTCGTCCTAGTTTGGGACTCTTCATCAGTACACACCCACCGGGATTCGAACCTACAGGACCTTCTGGTTACAAGGCGTACTCCCAGGTTGTCCAGTGGTTCTCTAACTGATGTCAACTCATGATGAAATCTTGTAACCAATCAACCAAATCCCTACAAAAACCAATACTTGAACACCAAATTCGATTTTACTGGTGAATTAATAAGCACCTAAGAATTACTGTTATTATTAGTAGTATAAGTTGTAATCTTGTGTGTTGACACATTTGTCCATTTACTCAAATATGGATAAGAGTAAGAATTGAGGTTGAGTAAGGCTTTATAATTTGTAAAACGTCTCATATATTTTGTGCATGTATTTAATATAACTGTTGATTTCAAGTAGTTTTGTTTTAGGTGTGTGTGTGTATGTGTGTGTGTGTATGTGTACAAAGATGTAATGTGTACTTTAATTTTGCTTGTTTTCAGACTGTTACGGATTTCCGTGATAATTCAACAAGATATTACAAATTTGAACTACTTGGTTAGTTAGTTCTATGTCAAAAAGTTGAGTTTATATAATAGGAGAGGTAATTACTAATATTTGATAGATTTAAAGCTATCACACTACAATATTATCATCATCATCAGTGAACTTCTCATACTGTTGCGTCCAAAGTTTCTACGAGTTGTTCAAACCAGTACATTGTGCAGTTGTTTCCCATGGGAAAAGTATAATGCTTATGATGTATTAGGAGTGAAAAAATCTGCAACAGCTGATGAAATTAAATCAGCCTATTATAATTTATCGAAAAGTCTACATCCTGATCGATTATCCCATTCGAATCCAGATCAACTGAAAAGACAAGAGTTTCAATTAGTGTCGTCTGCATACACCTTACTTCGAAATAGCGAAACTCGATCACAATATGATCAATATTTGGAGACTGGTTGTTGGCTACAACAGCACAACAAAAATGATGTGAGTTAAATATGTTCATAAGATTCATAATTTGTTGTTGTCGTTCAACATTTATTGACTTTCTTGTTGATTGATTGATGGATGGGAGTGTTCGGCCTGTGTTGACGCTTCGACGATTTGTGAGGATTGCATGGAAGATTTCATCATGAGCTGACATCAGTTAGAGAACCACTGGAAAACCTGGGAACACTGGACAGCTGTTTCCTCCGTCCTATTTTGCGACTCTTGAGCAGTATGCACCCACCGACAGGTTTCAAACCAATGACCTCGTTACAATACATGCGATCTCGTAGACCATTCAGCCACACTGGGACCCGCTCCAATGGTCTTTGATCGATTGGTGAGGGTAAACTTGAAGTAATTTGATGGATGGTGGTGACTGACTAGCAGTGGAATCTAAGAAGCGTATTTCGTTCTTTCTTGGACTCAGCGAGTGATACTGTTCCCACTGATACACGAACCCCAGTGTAGCCATGAAATGTGTATGCTGGATTCCACTGCTAGTGTTTATTTGCACTTAGTTCAACAGTCTAAAAGCTGATAAAATAGGTGGATATTTATCTACTTTTAAAATCTGAAGCACCCCTGCAGTCAAATAGGTACAAAACGAATCAAGGATTCAAGAGTAAACTGTGCAGCCACCAAAACCGACTTGTCATGGCTTAAACGCAGAGAACCGATCCTTACATCCGACCATAAAGCTGTCCAACACGTCCTTGGGGAACGCATAGTCACGAAACGCTACAAAGACAGGCGTTTCTGATTGAAATCTATGTGTGAGTTGAGGACTTTAAGTGCGCTTTTCTTTTTCGGTAATCATATTGAACATCAATAGAGGTAGGTGAGGAGAAAACAACTTGCTTAAACTACTCAGATTACCCTTGAAGTCTTATGTTTGAACCATCTAGCATGTTTTGAGGTTGAGGCTCCTGCATCATTTTAGCCTGCATAGCCTGATGCAGACCGGCAGACTGTTGTTTTTCTGAAATCTCCAAGTGATTAATAAAACTATTCTTAATCTCGAGTTGTTTTTATATCGCCTTTATCCTAAAGAAGATTTCTTCCGAAAATTAGGACTAACATTCCCTACTTTAAACGCTTCCGGGCTTTGTCCCATAGTTCTGTAACTGAACATGGACTGGGTGTGGTGAAGGTCTTCACTTCCTTAGAGACTTTCATGCGTAAGTTAGAAGTAGGCATCAGAGATGATGCGATCTGAGTTACAGGGTCATACAACCCTCCATCATCATGGAGAAAGTTGAACAGACCCAACTCTCCTTGTGAGGATCACACTTAGGCCTCCTGTTTAGCCTGAAGCTCACAAAATTAAGTTTCCAGTTTTTTCTCCAAACTCACGTATGACTACCCGAAGAGTTAGATCTAACACCATCATTCACTAAACTTGAACAAGAGCCACAATATGAACGTGAAAAAGAATATAAGGGAATTACCGCCTTCCTGGAGGTGTTGCATCCAATGTCGCCATGTTATTCTCCTTGTCAACAATAGGATCCGTGGACATCGTCATTGAACGTCTTCCAATTATATTATCATGTTGCGTTAATGGATTGTAATTTTTTTAATGTGAGTGTAACCAATCGATAGCAGGTGAACCGAATTATTGAATTAAATATAGCATAAGCTCTACAGTCACCTTCTGTTTCTCACCGAATACACGTTCATATACATCAGCAAAGTGAAAGTAAGGCTTATTTTAAGTAGTATTGCATACTTGTGTGTTGGATGTACCGTCATTCACTAAGAATGCAGGTATATACAGCTGATAAGTCCCAAATAGGACGAAATGCGCATCCTGGAATCCAGTGCTAGTCGATAACCATCAAATTAAGATTCGGTTCACTTTACTTTGTCTAAATATAAAAACCTCATTTTATTAAATCTATACGGTTGTGGTGCATCGGTGGGATGCTCACCAACACACAGATGGTTCGAAGTCCGATCCCCTGCTGACGCGAACTGCCTTACCTCGCTAAGCCAGTAATAAGACTAGTGAAGAGAAAAGGTTGGGAATCCTGTAAAAGTAACCACCATTGCTACCGAAATGTCATAGCTCTAGCTTGAAACCTTATGTTCTGTTCCACAGTGAACGCAAATAAATCATTTAAAGCAGTTGGTTCCCTTTATGGATTTCGACAAAACAATAAGAAGACGTAGTTTATTTGAAACGTTTAATGTATTGGCGCAACACATTTCGGACGTTCTGATCACACACGTACTTGTCATATACAGTTTTTATATAAAGCAAGAAAGCATGAATAATTACAGTACAGGTCAGATTGTGTACAGGTCAAGGTCACAAATAATGGGTAGGGAGACGCAAAAGGTGTGGGTAATAAAGATAAAAAGAGGAAAAAAAGGCAAAGAAAGGGTTTGAAAATATTATGAAGTAAAATTGGTCCTTGGTTCTAAGTTGGATTACCAAGGCAGGTTTAAGGTGATAACAAATAACTTTTGGACGCATAAGACAGGTTTAAGTCTTTTAATGACCAAGGCTTCAATGAATTTAAGTATGTGACCCGACCTTGTCTTATATATCGGCTTAAAGGCATTGCTAAAATCAACCTTATGACCCGTCTCTATATGCAAATAAATCAAATAAAACTTCTCATCAACCGTGTACAGCCTAAAGAAATAAATTACGTTTAAAGTACGGAACAATTTTAACATACTTTTAAGCGTTACATAATACCAGTTGACAAGAGTGCTCAGGAAATTACACTTATCTAGCTTATATCCAAAGATTTCAAGTTCAAAACAAAAATTAAAAACTTGAATACAATGGTAAAAGAGTTATGTGATAAAGACAAGACGGTGAATAAGGTGATGGGACAACTAATAAATTGAGTAACGATATGGTGAGTTCAACTCAAACCATAGAAATAAGAGACAAGCGAAGTTAGGCTATGTCAGAAGGGAGAGAGAGGTCAAAGCCGAAAATTATGTAATCGTCAAATGAAAGACAGAGAGAGCAGATATGTCGAGTTACCGAGAGAAGGGAACAGATCAATCGGGTATCAGGCGTTTGATAGCAGTTTATTCGCCAAACATGACGGGAATCGAACTAGTTTTTGTCTCAATTAAAGATTCTAAAGGTGTTTGTTCTCTTGAGCGAAGATCGGGAAGGTAAGGTAAGCTTTCATTTCTTTCAAGTCTATGTGGAGCTCAACAGCACTCTGCATGAAAAATAAGATCCAGACTTTCAACTCCAACGTGCATTCAGTGGCATCATACGGATAAGAGACTTGACGCCGCATCACGAAAGGCACGTCGAACAAACTACAGACCTTCACCAACTGCTTTCTTCCCTGAATACTCAAGATCAGATGGCTGGCCAGAAAAGATCAGTAACAGGGATCACTGGAAGCAAACCGATTGTACAACAAATATGTAGGAAGAAAGGGAGGCGGATTGGTCATACTCTGAGAAAACAAACCATCAAGTGACATCACACGCCAGGCCATCACTCGAGTGGAACCCTAACGGGAAGTGGCGAGTTCGCCTTCAGTGCGAGAGTAACATGGGGGAGGTCATGTGAAGGGGAGACAAAGTATGCGGGTAGACGTGGAGCCAGGTGAAAACGTTGACAAAGTACCGACGTGCAGCTGAAGCCCTATGTTCCTCTAGGAACGATAGGAGACAATAATAATAATGATGATGATCGTTCTTTTGAGGTGTAGGCTTTTCGGTGCATGTTTTAAGAATTTCAGGTGCACCCTTCTTTCTGTTTTCCCCTAATCTAACTAATACGACAGATACATGTTGATTCGTATCCACAGACAGAGCTAACATAAGAAGGATATCTGTCCACCGCGGATTGTATCAAAGAGCATGTTGTTTTATTGGGCTCCCTAAGAAGATCGATCCACAGAAAAGCTACTTGGAATGGTCAATTAACAAGCTTCTATAGCTGGATACCCATTCAACGAAAGCGGAATTTAATTAGATTACTTGCCATCCACATCCGACGATTCTGTAGTCCTGACGTTCTGGAAACAGAATTAGATATTCTAAGAGAAATCTTCATCCAAAATGGATACCGAATAAGATTCATCGATATAAATATCAAACCAGGAATTCGGAGAAACGAAACTTTAATTGCACCTAATAAGAAACTCTACATGAACTTGGTTTTTAAGGGAGATTTAGCAAGCGGTATTCTCAAGAGAGGGATCACATCATTTCTGAGAAAAACATTCCTTGCAGAAAAACTAAGAATAGTGTTCTCCAGTCACCCACTTATCTGCAGACGCCTCAAGGACAAGATCCCGCATCTGACCACTTCTATGTGCATATATCAGCTCACCTGCTGCTGTGGAGCCAGGTACATCGGTCGTTCGACGCGCACCCTGTCCAAGAGGATTCAAGAACACTATCCAGCATGGTGGCGGAAATACAATAGTTGCGCAATAAGGAGTGCGATAATTGAGCACCTGGTTAACACTGATCATTCCATCTCAACAAACTCCTCCTTCAAAGTAATCAACGGAGTCACGAATAATTTACCAGAGGCAATACAGTTTCGTCTTCTTTGTATCGCTGAAGCTGTGGCCATTCACATAGAAAAATCAGAGCTGTGCATACAGAAGAGAATTACTCAACCACTTCTACTGTCATGAAAACAACTCTGTTAATTTTTGATGACTTAATTTTGTTTGTTTTCCTGTTCTTCAATTGCTTAGAATTCTTCTATTCATTCAGAACTCTTACGTGATTTCGTATTCTCTTCTTTGTTCCTTTGTGTATCCTGAGTAAAACTCAATCACCAAACTATTCATATTATTACATAACTTCGTTTTTAACAACTGTTTGTGACAACTCATCATCTTTGCTACTATCCTAATTTCATTAACACCTAATTTTTTTGATTGATTTTGTATTACGTAACTCCAATTAGCAATCTTCACCTGTCTAGTTAAAATAACCATAACCAGTTGTATTTTTCTTTGACAAACATAATGTACACATACATACAAAACAACTCATATATATTTGCTATTAAACAGCTAAGAAAATGAATTCGCCGCTGAAAAGAGAGACTTCGCTGAGCTATCTTTTTAACTACTTTTCAATAGAATATATTTTATTATGCTATGTTATATAATTTACTTTCACCTCTCTCTCTTTCTCTCTCTAATTTTAGGTTGTATCCGATTTCGACACTGAATTTCAACGAGCTCGTGAATTGTTCATGCGAAATCAAAAATTTCAACGGAATCATTCACCAACCGATAAATGTGAACGAATAGTTTCTGAAGCAGGGAAAAGCGAAGTGAAAAAAGGCAATGTTAAACCTAAAACAGTATTAGATTATGATTATTATGATTCTTCTTCTTCTTCGAGGACACAACCTCCTGTATATTTCACAGCCTCTTACTTTTTAGGCATTACATTTAGTTTATTTCTCGTATACTACTGTTTAGCACAATCGAAATGAACAATGGTGTAGATTTATTTTTTACACTTTACTGTATAATCAATTCTTCTGAATCCCAAAATCTGGAAAAAGAAATGATATGATGAATTTTTTGAAGCAAATATCTTTATTCCTTTACGTTCCCAATGGTGGAACATAGGGGGCTTCAAGCTAGAGGCTTGTAGTTTTGGTAGCAGTGGTGCTTATTTTTACGAGATGGGGTTTCTAGCCAGCCTTATGTCCAACCTTCCCTTTTTTTTACCAGTCTTATTACTGGCTTACTTAGCGAGGTAAGGCAGTTCGCGTCAGCTGGGGATTATACTTTGAACCACCTGTATGGTTGGCGGGTATTCTACCGGTGTGTAGGCTTTTCGACCAATTATAGTCTTGTGATGTCCTAATTTCTATTCAGAAAGTATACTTCGACTTATTTAGAAGAGAAAGGAAATCTAGCGGAGAGAGAGGTCAGCTTTTGGAAAATATTTTCTTGATCGAATAAGTAATTTTCAGAGACTACGGTGTGGTAGTAGGGAAGTGACTGACTGACTGATTCGTTGGTTTTTCAGGATAGAAATGCAGCCCTTCGAGCTACTACACTTCATATATATCGCACAAAGCAAGACAAAAAAATAGATTCAAAAGAACGCTGATATTATCATTTGTATATATAAACAAAAATGTAAGAGAGAAAGAATGTTAATGATATGGGAAAACAAACAATCGGGTTCAATAGATAGATATCTGCAGATCACAAAGAGTGAAGAATACATCAGAGGCATTGAGAATGATGCCGAGCCATATCACCAAATTGTCTACAGTCTTCGGTTTCTAACATCCCGAGGACTTCCATCAGCCAATCACCAGTCTACACCTCTCTCTACGTGACCGGGTCAAACTAGCAGTTATGTCTCTCTGTCTGTCTGTTTTCGACATAGAACTTTGCACCCATGTGCGACAGTTCGAGTCGCCACACTCCCTCCTTTTAGCACACAAAGCAAGAGATGAAAGTAGAAGAAATGCATAATAGGGACAGCAAACGGAGGTGTGAGACAAAGCAATAGTAATAACGAAGAACAATATAGTTTCATTGGAAATCATGAGTCACAGGGAGTGGACGCATCTTCGCCGGCCATCGACAAAGATTTTGAGCCATATCACCAATTGTTTCCAAACATTGGTTCTTACAATCCCAAGAACCCCAACCAGGAAATCTACACCTTCCTACGTGGCTGACTTAAACTAACTATTGTGAGTTTGATTGTCTGGTGCAGTCATGTTTTGGTTTGACCGCCACTAACTCTTTTCCAGCCTGACCCTATATCAGCTAACATTGCCCACAGTCGAGGAAGGCGATAACTAGGCATACGTAACACATGTCTAACCATCTCAGTCGATGTAACTTTACAATCTCGACCGATGCCTAACCTGAATATTGCTCATCTTATTATACCACTTCACACGGGAGATAGAACGCAGGCACCTATGATCAAAGACAGCTAATCTTTTCATGTCTTCCACTCTCAATGGCCAGGTCTCACTCACAACCATAAAGTAGGACAGAGAGAACTGATGAGCAGTACACACGCCCTTTGGTCTATAACTGGATATCACGTCTACTCGAGAGAAGGCGTAAACTGGCATATGCGAAACTAGCCCTCTGTATCCGTGCTGAGATTTCGTCAGAGGTCAACACTTAAGCGCTGGCTGATGGTACTTCCCAAATAAGTGAAGTGGTCGACGTGCTCTACCACTTCACTTCCTATTTCTAAACTAGGAATCAGTGTAGTCCAGTCCTGTAACATCATCTGGCATTTGGCCGGAGCGAATCGCACGCCAAACATTCGTAGATTGCAGCTCAAGGTGTTCAGAAGACTCTGATCTATTTTGGCAGCGTCCTCGCCTAGAAGGACTATATCGTCTGCGCATTCTATGTCAACGAGATTATTCCCTGGTAGCAAGCGAATCCCTGAGTCTCATAATTGAGTTAAGGTTAAATCCATTAGTACAACTATGAGGAAATTGAATAGAAATGGGGAGAACGGGTATCCCTGACGGAAACCACTAGATGTCACCAATTCTGAGCCACACAACACTCAACCTTCATTTTTAAAATTCCGTTATTTTTCATCGCTTGGTTTGATTGGTAGTAGTATTCTCCATATTTCCGGTATGAGTGAGGAGTCATTCCTATTGCATGTGTTGGGCGTAGACTCGATGAACAAAGATTCAGTAATCAACGTCTCTCCATCTCCACCTACCTAGATTACTTTTTAGAATTTTAACCCTCCACCCACAATCCTATTGTGTGGTTGTGTGTTAATGCGTGCAGTGCGATTGCTGAGCTTTTTTCTAAATTACATATCTTCGCGAGTGGGGTCAACCATTCTTGCTTAGACTAGCTAAATTCTTATGTTCCGACAACCTGACTACCCGTGACCTACTAGTTTGACCTATGTAGTTGACCTCACTCACAGTCATTGCAAGGTATTTTGTAAATTACATTATTTTGTCTATTTGGGTCAACCCACAGGATTCTTTAACCTACAGAGTTTATCACTGAGTGAGTTTGTAGGTTTGGATGTCACCCTAATTCCTGATTTAATAATAATCCTGCATAAGGTCTCAGATGTCCCCTACTTATATGGTATAACAGAAGATGCTTTACATCCACCCTTATTTATCTTATCATTACTAGTTTCACAATTATTTTTATTTTGTCTTTGACCTTTACTAATCTTCCTGATGAATTTGATAGGATAGTTATTCAACACCACCGCTTCTTCTATCTGTTTTATTTCATCATTTAGGTCTTTTCTTGTGCTACTTAGTGCTATGGCTCACTTTGTTAGACACTTCACTAAGCCTGCCTTAACAGTTAACGGATGAGATGAATTAAAGTCTAAATATCTATTAGAATGAGTTGTTTTTCTGTACACACTAGTGTGTAGTTTACCTTCTTCTATTTGTTTTATTTTACAATCTAACATAGCTAATTCTCTTTGTTCATTTTCCGATTCAAATGTGAATTTTATTCCCTCCACTAGTGAGCTTATATGTAACAAAAAGCTAGAGATATGTTCTGTTTTTAACACTGTGAAATTGTCATCCACATATATCCACCATACTTTTTGAGTATGATTAAACGTATTAAGAGCAATTTTTTCCCAGCTGTTGTCCATAAATATATTTGCTACGATAGGGGATATAGGTGATCTCATTGCTACACCTTCTGTTTCTGTATATATTTCGCCTTGGAATTGGAAGATATTAGATGTATGGCAAAACTAAATTCGTGAAATAATTTTTTCCATGGGTAACTTTCTGCTGTGAGTGAGTTCAGGATCTGCAGTTAGTTCTGTTTTAACTGCTTCTAAGGCAATATTGATTTGTAGATCCGTATGAAGACTGGATAGATGAAGAAAAGGCCTAAATGATGAAATAAAACAGACAGAAGAAGCGTTGGTGCTGAATATCTATCCTATAAAATTCATCAAGAAGATCAGTAAAGGTCAAAGACAAAATAAAAATAATCGTGAAACTAGTAATGATAAGATAAATAAGGGTGGATGTAAAGCATCTTCTGTTATACCATATAAGTAGGGGACATCTGAGACCTTATGCAGGATTATTATTAAATCAGGAATTAGGGTGACATCCAAACCTACAAACTCACTCAGTGATAAACTCTGTAGGTTAAAGAATCCTGTGGGTTGACCCAAATAGACAAAATAATGTAATTTACAAAATACCTTGCAATGACTGTGAGTGAGGTCAACTACATAGGTCAAACTAGTAGGTCACGGGTAGTCAGGTTGTCGGAACATAAGAATTTAGCTAGTCTAAGCAAGAATGGTTGACCCCACTCGCGAAGATATGTAATTTAGAAAAAAGCTCAGCAATCGCACTGCACGCATTAACACACAACCACACAATAGGATTGTGGGTGAAGGGTTAAAATTCTAAAAAGTAATCTAGGTAGGTGGAGATGGAGAGACGTTGATTACTGATTCCTTGTTCATCGAGTCTACGCCCAACACATGCAATAGGAATGACTCCTCACTCATACCGGAAATATGGAGAATACTACTACCAATCAAACGAAGCGATGGAAAACAACGGAATTTTATAAACAGATTTAGAAAGTTGTGTGAGTACCTTTATATGATTATGAGCAATAAATTGTGGTCATTTATAACTATTATTGTATAACACTGAGACTTTATGAGAACACTTTTATGGATTCGTACTCTACAACAGTGTACATATTTTATTCTTATATCAAGGAGGTCTATACACGCCGTACGCGGTTGGCTGAAATTAACTGTCGGAGATTTCATGGACTGGTGCCAAGTGTCCGTCTGACCACCACTGGCTCTTTTCCAACCTGATCGATCCTATGTCAGCTAACATTTCCCATCGAGGAAGGCCGATCGATGGCTAGGGATGCGTAACAGATACATGTCTCGGCCATCTCATTCGTTATGAATTCAGACCCCCATCGATTGACTTTCCCTCCTTATCCAACATTTCAGGCCTAACGTCAGTATTGATTATTCTATTATCCCACCTAACACAGGAGATGAAATGCACACATGTGTGATAAAAGACGACTAGTCTTCCACTTTCAATGACCATGGCTAACTCATAGCCATGAAAATAGGACGTAGCGAAGTGGTGCTGTGCACAAAAGAAACACATCATTCGATCGACAGCCAACTGGATATCACATTCACGCCATTTACTTTCACAGGACTCCCTTCGAAGCTGAGTACTGCCATGGTCTATCTATGTCGATGGACTGAAATTCTGCCTTCATCTCAAATAGTATGTCGGTTGTTGGACGCCGGTTAGGATGTCACTGTTCTAGAGTCTGTCAAACGGTGAAGATATGATCAACGCACCCACACACTACCTGGTCTGTAACCTGAATGGTTTTCTCGTGTTTGTTTCTCTCGAGCACCACTTGAATCTGCGCATGATTTTTAGCCTAGACCCTAAGTTAGCATATTAATCAAGTCAATATCCCTATGATTGTCATAGAAAGACTCTTTTTTCTTTCTTGTATACTGAGATGATATGAATGACTTACACCATTGCGATGGGACTATCTCCGATTCCCAAACGTTTACCAATATGTTAGTTGGCCCGGTCAGTAAATTTATCACCGTCTTCTTTAGACACTGTAGAGAGGTTATAGTGATCGACCTTAACAGTCACCTTCATTTAACATATATTAAGGATCGATATCGCTTCCATTACACGATTTACATCATGATCTGGCATTAGTTAGAGAACCATTGGAAAACCTGAAGGTACTGGACAGCTGTTTCGTCCCAGTTTGGGACTCTGCAACAGTAAGCACCCACCGGGATTCTAACCCAGCACCTTCTGGTTACAAGGCGAGCTCGTATACTATTAGGCCACTGGGACCGGATCCAATGGCCCACGAAATCTGGGGGTTGCACTATGTCCTGATTTGGCCCCAGGGGCTTATTGGTATACGAGTTCGCCTTGTAACCAGAAGGTGCTGGTTTCGAATCCCGGTGGGTGCATACTGCAGGAGAGCCCCAAACCAGGATGAAACAGCTGTCCAGTACCTTCAGGTTTTCCAATGGTTCTCTGACTAATGCCAGATCATGATGAAAATCCTGTAACCAATCAAATCCCTAAAAAGCAACACTTGAATATCGCTTCCATTGTTAACTACCTTTCAACCCACCTTATTCAGTGAACTTTGAACCTAATTCTCCTTCAAAAAGTTGCGCACTTAGGATTACGAATTTAAGTGAAGCGATGCTATATGTTGAATAATTTAGGAAAATGCCTAATGCCGTTAAACACTTCTAAATCGTTCAAAACATAGCCATATATGTGTATTAGAATTTCGAGTCATCTATCTATTCGAATGTATTTGAACAACTTAGCAATATATCTTTTACCCCGATTCTTCCATCCTATAAATTCGCCCAAGCTTGCCTCAATTACTTCAAACACTTATTAATTTCATGTAATGATAAGATGGTTGAATTGTAAATTACAACTTCAAATGAACATTGGGAAGACAAAGATAATGAAGATAATCAACCAGTACCAATCACACTATCAACGGAATATAACATTGGAAGAGGTAACTTCCTTCACTTGTATGTATGGGCACTGTCTTTCCAACTACAGGCTACAACACCGATGAGGCTTTCAAAGCTATCCAGAATCGAAAGGGCACGCCTTCACCACTGTGAAATCAGTGTGGAGTTCTATTCCACAGCACTCAGCATAAACAGCGAAATTCGGATTTTCAACACCATACTTGTCGACAGCTGCCCTCACTGGCATCATATTGAAGATCAGACAGCTGGCCAGAAAGAAATAGCACCAAAAGACTCTAGATAGCACCCCTTGCTCAACAAACCTGACAAGGAGAAATGGAGTTGAATCGGATACCTTTTGAAGAGACTGTTGGGTGGTGGTACCGTACACCAGGCCATCGCTCGAGTCGGACGTTGGTCCGAGGGTGATATGAGGGAGACTCGAAGCGAATACAGGAGTTAGACAAGACTGTCTACTATCACCGATTATATTCCTAATTGTGGTGGATTAGGTAATGCTGCAGACTGTGGGCAGAAAGAAGACAGGAATATGCTCAGCCGATAAGAAGACTAGAAGACATGGACTTCGTGGATGATGAGGTTAAATTACACAGAAACTCGAAGACGTACAGACGAAAACCAACAAACTGGCAGAAAAGCCGTGAGGCGAAGACAGAGGTAATGAAGGTTACCAGCCACAATATGCACTAATCACTATCCTTCTACTTATCCGACCAAACAGAAACTGACAAGTGACAGCACGGATCAGAGGTGATCTAGAAAGCAATACAGACATCGCTCTGATATCAGTTTGGATTTTCAACATCAATGTTAAGTTAGTCACTTCTTCAATAAATGCGTCACAGACATATTTGGCGCGTCACCGAACGGATTCCCATCAACAGCTGCCTTCGCTGCCAGGCCAGAAAGAAATGGCAGCATGAAACTCTGGTAGCGAACCAATCAAGAGCACAAGGCAGAACAAATATGTCGCAGAAAGTTGAGAAGGATTGGGATACACACTCTGGAGACCGTCGGGTGATTGTAGACAATCGTGAGGACAGCAGAACACAGAACAAAGCAAAGACATGCTGTTCAAAACGCCTATAAGTAATAAGAGTAGCAGACACCGGCTCAGTCCACTATCTCGTACATGGGACAATCCAAATCATATTAAAAGCTTTCAGGGTAACATGAGCTGCAGACAGACCACAAGCCAACTTCAACACTCAAAAACTGAAGGACCATGATACAAAGGACATCTTCATTGCAAGCATAAGGGACAAAGCCGAGACACAAATCAACACTAGCGAAGAGGTCGGCGTAGAAAAGCACTAGCCCAAATTGAAGACGGTGTGAAGTCAAACCTGCATGGAAGTTCTAGGTAGAAAGAAGAGACAGGACAAACAGTGGCTCACTGCGGACACTAGGAAACTAATAGAAGAAAGGAGGATAGTGAAATAAAAGATTATCCAATGCACCGACTAGCAACAAAAACAGGAGTTGAATGCAAGCTACAAACTACAAAACGCCTATATCCCACTCGCAACCCAAGTGAATAATAATAATAATAATTTATTCGTGCGAAGACGGAAACAAATTCAGCACACTAACGCAGATGTGTAGAATGACCAATATGAAAAGCTAATCAAAACTTTCGCCTGTTGCTATTTCCCTATTATACATACATATGAAGGGGAAAACAACCACTTTCCTGGGTATGATCACTTGTTTACGTCTGTTGAAATCACAGACGGCATAGTTGCGGCGTCTCTGATGGTGACCATCTATCATACCGTCACATATGATTGATTTTAGGATAGGCTGATGAGAAGTACACACTGAATGAAGAAGTTAAGCGTTTTTTTCTTCTTGTCATCTCTTAAAAATGCTCAAAATAAAGACATTAATATATGTATATATTCTTTATCTAACATGAATGTACAACAACAAATTTGAAAATATTATAGTAATAAAGTAATAAACACACACATATATATATATCATTTGGAAAGTAGAACAGAACAGAAAATTTACGAATTGAAAAAAGAATATCTTATAAAGGTAAAGGGATTTTTGTTGAACCAGAATGATTCATAGAATTGCTTCGACTACGGCAAGGACTTTCATCCCATATTGCACTACTTGTACGTGGTTTCAATGTATACTTAAAATCACGGAATATTTCAGGAATACTGAATGGTAGCATTGATGCAGGCAGGAATTCCTCTTGCCATTTCATTTTAATTGAATGCGAATCACAAAATGCATCCATCAGATCAGTATTGCCTAAGTATGACCAGATGATATTAATAATTAATATAAAGATTAAACACATTAGTTGAATGTGAATAAATATATTTTTAAATTGTAGGCTTATTATGTTTATCAAAAGCAAAACAAGAAAGACTATAATGCGTTGTATCTCAAAAATCTGTTAGTATACTTGTTATATATGTATCAAGTTTGACTAAGACAGCTTTTGTGTTCTATAGTGTGCTTCGGACTCATCGCGCCTTCATTCACCATCAAAAGGTAGGAAACCAGAACCTTTCATTTAGAAGTCAAACGCCTCAACTATTTCGCCGATACTCAATAGCTGGTTGAGTGATTTCTAAGCCTACACCAATTCGTAATTTTAGCGAGTACTGCCAGCCGATGATAACCGTGAGTATTTTTATCCCTCACTGGTCACGACTTTTCACTAGAATTCCGGGCACTAGCGAGTATCAGATTATTTTTGTAGGGATTCGATTTGTCTCAACTGTGATATACACAATATATAGCCTCCTCCCTTAGCTGTCTCACGAAATTTCAAATCACCTCGTAATCATGTAAGACTGACTCTTATTAGACGATAAACGCCTAGTGGTATCTCATATGTCACTTCTACGGATATACAACTGTTTCCATTGGAATATATACACATTCAGGAAGTGAAGCCATAGCAATAGGAACTAACACTAGCAGTCTGTGTTTACGTCGCTACAGTAGTAGATAAATATTACTATAGTAGTGACATATCACTAAAATAATAGATTATTGGAAATCTGATGTACTCAATATGAAGAAGAAAATTCGGACTTCCAACACCACTGTCTGTCAGTTCTTCTTGTATATGGATCAGAAATTTGTCTTTAGTGTTACGAAAACCAATTCAAAGAGTATAACTGAAGACTTTCATCAACAACTGCCCTTGCCAGCTCCATACTGAAGATCAGTTGGTGGGGAGGGGGGGGTTGGAAAACATAAACAACAAAAAATTCTAGCAACCAACGAACCAATTAAGAAGCTACTGCTCAACAAATATGTAGAAGAAATTAGAGGTGAATCATCGAATACACGCTGACTAACACCCTTGGGTGACATAGCGCGCGCCAGGTCATCGAGTGGTGATATGGAGGAGACGGAAGCTTACGTAAAATCGTCGAGCCAGCCAGCTACAGAAGACTGTGAAGAACCGGACGAAATGATGATGTACTTCTATTGAAGGCCTGTGTTCTACTCGGAACCCAATGGGATAATAATAATAATAATGGCAATAACTCAGGTAAAATTTTATCAGTAAATAAAATGATAGCAAATTACTCCAGAGATGAATGTTAAGCGAAATACTACGCACCTTTACGACACCATTCTGGACAATGACCACCTGAATCTTCATCGTCTGATTCCGAATCTGAATTCAACTTTGATATATTGAAAGGTTCCCTGAAGAAAAAAAATACAGAAAACAAAAATTTTGTAAAATGAACTGTGTTGTGGCGTAGAAAAAAATTAGTAACTTGTGATTAGTAATCATTGTAAAGTCTATGACTATAGTGAAGGATAATTCCAAAAACTCGGAGTGAAACTTCAAGCACCGAAGTAAGTGTGAGCGGACACCATCGATGATCTCAGAACGCTAAGCCACGTGACCAAGTTAATCGAACCTAGTGAAAATAACACCATAATCATGAATAAAAACTGCTAATGAAATGTTATGGTATTATACTAGGTTATTGGGGAATAATTTAAGGTGAGGTTTTGGAAAGTTTTGGTCAAGGTTTATACTAAGGAACAAGTTAGGGTTAGAAGGAATTACATGAATACATATGCAGAGAGTAGTTTTATTCCTGCATTGACAGTTCACTGCAAAAGTGAGAGGCATTTTTGTCACACATCAGTAAAAGGTATCCCGTGCAACGGCTTCACGCCTTTTATTCTTTTTTTCATTTTTGTTTTAAAGTGTACCTTATGCGTTAAAATACCCTTTTTAAGCGATTGGCGTATCTCACCCCTATGGTGTTCCAAGTTCATTATCTGTGAATTAGAGATAGTTCTATTAGCTTGATCCAAGGCATTGAATGAAGCAGTACACAGGAAGGTCTTTCTGTGATAATCATCATAAGGCGACTATCTTGACTAATATGCTATATAAACACTTCTAGGGTGAACAGCCATGTTCAGATTTAGGTGGTGCTCGAGAGAAACAAACACGAGAAAACCATTCAGGTTACAGACCAGGTAGTGTGTGGGTGCGTTGATCATATCTTCACCGTTTGACAGACTCTAGAACAGTGACATCCTAACCGGCGTCCAACAACCGACATACTATTTGAGATGAAGGCAGAATTTCAGTCCATCGACATAGATAGACCATGGCAGTACTCAGCTTCGAAGGGAGTCCTGTGAAAGTAAATGGCGTGAATGTGATATCCAGTTGGCTGTCGATCGAATGATGTGTTTCTTTTGTGCACAGCACCACTTCGCTACGTCCTATTTTCATGGCTATGAGTTAGCCATGGTCATTGAAAGTGGAAGACTAGTCGTCTTTTATCACACATGTGTGCATTTCATCTCCTGTGTTAGGTGGGATAATAGAATAATCAATACTGACGTTAGGCCTGAAATGTTGGATAAGGAGGGAAAGTCAATCGATGGGGGTCTGAATTCATAACGAATGAGATGGCCGAGACATGTATCTGTTACGCATCCCTAGCCATCGATCGGCCTTCCTCGATGGGAAATGTTAGCTGACATAGGATCGATCAGGTTGGAAAAGAGCCAGTGGTGGTCAGACGGACACTTGGCACCAGTCCATGAAATCTCCGACAGTTAATTCCAGCCAACCGCGTAAGGGGGCAACAGACCTCCTTGATATAAGAGTGGAACTTGTGTACTGTTGTAGAGTATGAATTAATAATAGTAAAAAATGTTTGCATAAAATATGCCAGTGTTATACAGTAATGTTTAAAAACCACCACGTTTCGAACAAAATTTATTGCTCATAATCATATCAAGGTACCTACACAACTTTCTAAATCCGTTTATAAAGTTCCGTTATTTTTCATCGCTTGGTTTGATTGGTAGTAGTATTCTCCACATTTCCCACATCCAAATCAAAGACTACTGTTTTCCCATGATACTAATACTATTTCTCCTTCTCCCACATTTCTGTTTATTATCGTTCTCCGGAATCTGTTTTTCTCTCTCAGTCATTCGGTCATGTAAAATGTTAGTCCTAATGTACTGATCATCATCTGATTACATTTAAAATACTTAGTTCAATACAACAACAACAAAAGTCACTGCACATGTATACACCTCTATATAATAAACATCACAAGATAGAATTTAACTTACTCGACTACTGGTACTGCATTAGGCTCAACCACTTTCTTCTGTACTTGCAGTACTCCGACAGGTTGATTTGTGTGAACTTTCTGAATGCTTGCTGGTTGAGCTGGGTTAATTACACTAACAGGTTTGTTTTGCATTTTTAGTATATTATTGTGATCTTTAGTAATTAGGCTTACTAAACACTTTTTCGCTGGATTATTATTATTAGTAGTAGTAGCGGCCTGTAATGGCTTAGCTTGTACATTCGTACTTGCAGTAGTTGGAAGATTTTCCTGAAATAAATTCAAATTGAAACAGCGTGTTTTAAGAATAGTGTCTACCTTGATAGATATACACACACAATATGCACCTTACCACTTGTCCGACACACAGACGACAAAGGATGAAGAGACAGTTATTGCTTAAGTAACATATAAAAGTGGCATTTAAACTCACAAATTCAATTAGAAACAAGCTTTGTCGGTTAAAGGATCAATCCTGTGGACTTTTTAAACAAAACAATTTAGTTGATCTAATACCCTGTCTGCAATGATTATCAGGCCGATACATAGGTCAAACTTGTAGAACAGGGGCAGTCAGACTAGCCGAACATAAAAACCTAGCAAAATCTAGATTAGCTGACCCAAATAAGATAAGAAATCTAGAGAATAGTTCAGCTATAGCACTCACTACATGCAATTACACACAAATCTAACGTCAGAGCTGAGTGGAGAGAGAAATTGGTAATAGAAGCTTTGTTTATCGAATCAACTGCAAATACGTGTAATAGGAATGATTCAACATCTGTCCACCCAGATATCTGGAAAATTCTACTACCCCAGTGACGACAAATAGGAGAGAACAAAGAAGACTATAAAACTCAAGTTCGAAGTCGTGTGATTATAAAGTGATATGATTATGAACAATAAATTCTGTTCGAAACTGGGTAATCCAGTAAATAATGCTATTTCACTGTGTGATACATCTAATAAACAAACTAATATGGATTAACACATTTTTGAGTGATGACATGACATGACACGGCATTCACTGCCGTAAACGCAATAGCAGTGTTCTTTCTAGAGTCTGCATGAAAAAAGCCGTATATAAAGGATACATTTGAAAAATGAATAGTAAGCTGTGCATGTTAGGATGTCAGTCAAGCAGCAAACCACCAAAGATGCTAAGAAAAAGATAAGAACTTCCCTGAGAACAGGATATTCGAAATTGTCAAATTATTGTTAGAGTGTATACTAAAAGTATACTTTCTTAAAACAAACGCTGAGCTGCTGGCAAAATTATTATTTTACCATGAGCATTTTACCACAAACATCCACAACGTTGCCAGTGGAACAACGTAAAGAGATTCAATCAAGATTCAACTGGAAGTTTCCGTAGTAATGGTATCACGGATTTTTGAGGGAGTACGATTGTCAGCCGTATTTCTTGTTGTAATTCCTTATTTTTATTTTAATGATTTGAATGATGATTCTACAGAAGTTGAAGGTGATAAGTTACTTAAGGATGATACATATTAGATAATAATTAGCGTTAAATAAACTAACGAAATCAGGACAAATTACAATAGAAAAAATATATCAATGGCGAATGAAATCTAACGGTCCTGTTTTATCTCGATTTTTTACGGTTAACCAAAAGTAACACACCAAACACACTGCCTTGCAACCAATCGTTTTTCACTACTACATACACCAACGTATAATCTATCTCTAAAGGACTTTTCACACAATTTGAATACATAACAAAATCATGCGACCATTCCTATCAATTCACCAACCATTTGAAACAGACATAGCATACAGGCCAATACAATCACTTCACTCAACATTGTGCAGAACAACGGATCTAACACAGCAAAAGAAAATGAGATCAATAGCATTCACCAAAAAAATCATTTGCATAAATCGCAACAAACACTAGATCAGTCAAAGTGGACATCCCCCATGAATCACACTTCAAGAATATAAATTAACTGAAACTGACAATGAAAGTTTCTCAATTAATACAACCAGCTAAGATAACAAAACTAAGTCACAATCAATATGCCAGAGACATAAGAGACAAAGTAGCAAGATATATATATATATATATATATATATATATATATATATATATATACCATTATCATTATTATTATATCCTTTAATTCCTAGGGGAACATAGGGCCTCACAGCTACGCGTCTCCATTGCCTTCTGTTCTCTGCTACCTTTTCCACCTGGCTTCAAGTCTGCCCACATGCTTTCATCTGCTCTTCACATGACCTCATCCAAGTCACCCTTGGACGACCAACTCGCAGCTTCCCTTTCGGGTTCCACTCGAGGGCTTGTCTAGTGATGTCACTCACTTGATGGTTTTCTTCGAGTATGGCCACCAATTTATCTCCATTTCTTCCTGCCTATTTGTTTCACAATCGGTTCCTGGTTGGTTCGCTCAATGCCATAGATCCCTGTTGCTGATCTTTTCTGACCATACTTCATCATAATATTCAGGGGGAAAAAGCAACTGACGACAGGTTTGTACACAACAACAACAGCATAAAAGAGAAGAAAACATACTTTAACTTGCAAATGATTTCCTTGCAACAATTGTTGATATCTCTGTTGAACGGCTAGAAGACGTTCATCATTAGCTTTTTTACGAGCTTCCGTTTTTAGTCTTTTCTCTTCTTGAAAAGCACGTAAACGTTCATTTTTCTTTTCAATATGTTCCATAATAAGTTTTTTTTTCTCTTCAAGTAGTTTGTCTTTTGCAGACAAAATAGATGAGATTGGTCGATTAGTCTGTTTCACAAATGAACGGTTTAACGAAGTGTTAGCTGATATTCTCTCCTTAATGGAATTCATTTTCGAATCTGTATATTTAGAGAGAGAGAGAAAAAAACAATTGAATTATCAAACAGATACCTTACGTTTTCTATTACTTGGCAACGGGTTGATCTCTGACGAAATCTCAGCACGAATACAGGGGGCTCGTTTCGCATTTGCCACTTCACGCCAACTCTGGCGCAGACGAGATGTTCGACTATCGACCAAAGGGCGGGTGTACTGCTCATCAGTCCGCTCCGTCCTCCTTTATGGTTGTGAGACCTGGCCACTGAGAGTGGAAGACATGAAAAGACTAGCTGTCTTTGATCATAGGTGCCTGCCCTCTATTTCCCGTGTAAAGTGGCATAATAAGGTGAGCAACATTGAAGTTAGGCGTCAAGTTCTAGGTAAACTGGGGAAATCAATCGACGAAGTTGTGAAGTTACAAAGACTTGAGATGGTTAGGACATGTGTTACGTATGCCTAGTCATCGCCTCCCTCGACGAGCAATGTTAGCGGATATAGGGTCAGGCTGGAAAAAAGCTAGCGGCGGTCAAACCAAAACATGGTTTCACCAGTCAATGAAATCCACATCAGTCGGTGTAAGCCACGTAGGAAGGTGTAGACTTCCAGGCTGGGGTCCTCGGGACGGTAAAAATCTATGGTTGGAAACAATTGGTGACACGGCTCAAACTCATAGTTCTCAATGGCCGGTGCAGATGCATCCACTCCTTGCGAGTTATGATCTCCAATGAAACTGTTTTGTTCTTCGTTATTACTCCTTTGCCTCACACCTCTGCTCACTGTCTCTATTATGCTTTTCTTGTACTTTCTTCTCTTGCTTCGCGTGCTACACGGAGTGTGGCGACTTGAACTTCCGCACATTTGTGCAAAGTTCTATGTCGAAAACAGACAGACAGACAGACTTGGCAACATGCATACATTTATGAATACGATTGTACGTGGAACCAGATCTGAAACTGTGATCCATAGACTGGAAACCAAATAAGCCATAACACTACCACTGTAGTCAGAGCTGTCTGCTAGCCAAAATTGTAGACAGCAATTTACGTCAGTGTTTATGTACCGAATCGAGGTCATGAGAACGAACAATAACAAAGCTTAACCTTGAGGGGCTCACGAACCAATCACAGCCGATTTAACGTGTGGAAATATGATTTGCAGATATATGGCTTAACCTTCTAAGAAACGGTTACAAACAGTACAGAATAAACTTTAGCAAGAAAACAACCAATCAGAAGACGTCGCTTCTCCGCTAACAATAACTCTAATAATAATGTACATAAAAATCTATAAATATCTGTTGATTTTCGTAATAAACGATCTGTTGACTGGCCCTTGTCTTCTGTCGTTACACTACTACCACCACAAGACAAATGAGTAACTAGTACAACATTTAAAACAAGCAGCAAACGTTTATAAGGTAGAATTCAATGAATTCGTCACAATTCGGTAGAACTCTTCAACCGAATACTCTTAATACAGCGATATATATATATATATATATATATATATATATATACCTCTGTATGTAGAGTTTTCAGTTGAAGAGTTCTAATGAAATTTGATGAATTCATTAATTTATGCTTTGCTGCTTGTTTTAAATTTTTATCAGAGAATAATAAATGTCGCGAACAACAAATTCACAGTAACTTTAGGTATGATGGTGAAACACTTCAAATTGCACCATAATCAGTGGATAAGTCAACGAATCAATCAGAAAGACAGTACAAATTTTGAATAGTTTGTTTCTTCAAAACTGTAGTGATTCAGGTAAGATACAGTTGAATACACATGTAAAACAATTATATATGCTTTCATTAAAAATAGATCCAGTGAGACATGAATTGACTTATTTACTCATAACTCAGACAGCTACTATCAATGTTGGTTAACAGTGAATCGCGTTTGTTTCTTCGAACTGGTCTCCATTTGGCACGACACACGAAGGTTATCGTTGCTTAAATCGGATACTGGTTGACAGAAGATCGGAGAAATACGCTCAGAAGTGTTATTATGCATTATGTTAACGTTTATTTACAGACATTGCATGCAGTAAATCGTAATTCTGTTTTGCTATAGGTGGAAAAATTAGCAATTGTATTGCCCAACCGTTTTCTGTTCCTCAGCGTCGGTTACCTTGCATAGTCCTCTATGTATTAGGCGTAGTCTTCTGAAACCAGAGATAGGTTCAGGATCTCTGAGATCCGGTATTGATAGTAGTCAGACACACACACACACACACATGCAGATTTTAAAGTATGAAATTCATTCAGCAGTCCCGTTTTACGATTCCAAGTCTACAGTAATATCACGGTATACAAAGATTACTAATCTGAAACGTGACATGTAGGAGATGAAAGCGCTTATGGTCAATCATGGAATAAACTAGAGACGAGTGAAGAGAACAGAACAAAATGGACATGTGCTGTTGAAGTTTCCTATTTCACAGGGAACCCCAAGGGAATAATAAATAAGGTGTTCAAGCAACAACTAACCGAGGACAAACATATAAGCAATGCGCCGACAACCTGGACAACACCTAATCTGCTCTTCATATATCCATCTCCGATGCTTCCTTCACAGTCTAGGTAGTGTGTGTGTGACAACAACACCTAATACATTTGAAGTGACTGGTATTACAATAATGTCCGCAAGGTCACTATAGCAACTTGATTTCAGGTCGATGAAACTGTCTGTCTGTCTGGATTCAACATAGAACTTGGCACCGAAGTGCAGCAGTTCGAGTTGCCACCTTCCAAATAGCACACAGAGGTAGACAAGAAGATGAGTGAAGAGAATTAATAGAGTTTGACAAATATAAGAGTGAAACAGAATGGGTAATGGTAGAAAGGAATATGAAAGATTACAGAGATTGAATACATCTGAGCCATTGACAACGATTTTGAGCCATGTCACCTATTGTCTCCAGCCATTGATTCCTAGAGTCCCGAGGGCCCCAACCCGGAAGTCTGCATCTCCCTGCCTGATTCAGTTTAACTGTCAAGGATTTCATGGATTGATGAGGCCATGTTTTTGTTTGGCCACCACTGGCTCTTTTCCAACCTGAACCTATATCAGCTAGCAGAGCCCGTCGGGGAGGCGGTGGTTAGGCATGCGCAGCACGTGACCTAGCCATCTTAGTCTATGTAACTTTATAACCTCGTCGATTGATTTTCCCTGTTTGCCCGACACTCTACGCCTAACGTCAACATTACTTATCTTGTGAAACCACCTAACGTGAGACAGAGATCGCAGACATCTATGATCGAAAGCAGTCAACCTTTTCATGTCTTCAACTCGTATTGGCCATGTTTCAGAGCCATAGAGAAGGATGGAGCGAACTGATGAGCAGTACACACGTCCCTTGGTTGATAGCCAGCCGGATGTCACGCCTACGCTACAGATGGTGTAAGTCAGCGAAAGCAACTCGAGCTTTTTGGATCCGTGCTGAGATTTCGTCGCCAATCAGTCCGTTGGTGCTAATACAACTTCCCAAATAGGTGAAGTGGTCAACATTTTCTATTACTTCACTCCCTATCACTAAGTTAGGGGTTGACGTCGTCCAGTCCTGTAGCAGCATCTTACATTTTGCAGGGGCGAATCGCATGCCAAACATACGAAGATTGCTGCTCAAGGTGTTCAGAAGACTCTGCATTTTGTCAGCATCCTCCCCTAACAGGACTATGTCATCTGCATATTCTAAGTCCATTAGATTATTCCCTGGTAACAAGTCGAAAGCTACTACCTTGACGTGGTGGTCGGGCTTGAACACCGCAATGACCTAATCAAGCTATACTGGCTGAGACTTATGTCTCTTGAGGTTCTACCATGCCAGGCAGGTTGTTTGGATAGCGGTTAAACAAAAAGCAGCTACCTCATCCAATACCATGATCCAAACAAATTCACAAAATTTCATGCTGGATCGGCCGTGGCCCGGATTAACAACGACCGCGCTTCCTGCTGCCGTGTCACAGGGCGGGAGTGATAAGTATGCTACTGAGGCACACAAAACAACAAAGAACGAACAAAAACAGGCCGCGTGTGACCGGCCTCAAGCAGTTGTCCCCTGGGCTCTGCGGTCACGCAACCAACTTCCACGGTGTGGGCAGCCGGGAAGTAACAATCGCCCTCACAATCCAAAACGCACACAAAACCTCTCTAATCCTCACTTATCTTTGTCTTCATCTTCATCTCTATTACCTTACCTTCCCCCCAGTGATGCAACTCCTCTACTTGATGGCTCCTCACTCCCTCTTCACTCTGTGTCGATGAAACAATCAAAGCTGCCCTATTCTCTCGATTGATCTTTAAAGACTGTTGCTCCAGATACAATTAAGGGATTAACCGAATATTGTACATCCTTAAGTAAGCGTAACTATTGTAAAAAGAAAATATTCCGAAAAAAATATTTTGGTGTAGTTGTGTTCCCTCCCTGTGCTGGATGGTTTATAGTTATGAAGCTTTCATTGCCTTACTTACAAGGCAACATCATTCAATGCATACTTCAATTTGACAGCTTCGCAACTAAACCATCCACAGCTCAGAGAAGACAACTACACCAAAATCACTGATTTCAGCTAAAACTCTTCTCTTCATTATTTCTAAAAACGTTTATAGTACCATGCTCAAAACTGAATATCTAAAGAAACCAAAAAAAAATTAATATAATAATACAAGCCAAAAACAGAAAAACCCACCCCTTTTGTCTTTTGATGATGGTTGGACGGATCGACCGATGGAATTAAGCCTTGAAACACCACCAAGTCTCTCAGCTGATGAGAACAAACGCGACTTATTATAATCATTAGCAATTTTATTTCCGAAAGTAGTCGTTTGATGACTTTTTCCAGTAAGAAGCCTTGAAACATGCTTTACTTTAGAATCAACTGAATAGGAAGAATGGTGTACACCATTCTGTATGGTGTTAGTTAGATCCACAAAAGGTGATTCCACTTTGAGTTTACTAATCTTATTATTATTATTTGCATTATTCTGTTGTGTAGTAGTTGAGAAATTGCTTGGTGCAGGAATCGCCTTCAAGTTAGCATATTCTACGGTATTTGAAGAGCACAAATTCGCATTATTAGAATGACGATCAAGTGTTACAGTTACATTCAATGGACGTCGATCGCCAGATTGGATATCGTTTTCATCTGTATCCTTTGACTGTGACACATTCTAAAATGTAGACGAAAAACAAAAAGTGAGGACTAATCGTTTGAAGGTAAATGAGTATGAAACTATCATCAAAGAGATTATAAAGTATGCATATATACATCACATTTGATTACTTAATTAGTTAAAGGGTATTTTAGATGAAAACTCTTTGGTTTGCAAAAAATGTCATACCACCACAAAGCCTTGATATATACAGAGTCTAATCATCACTATGATTTCATCTGTTGAATAGCTCCTTCATGTATCATTTATCATGTGAAAGACAAATACACGTACGATGCCACCCCCTCAACACCCAACCCCAACCACCACCATGTCAGACAAAAGTTGCACAACACTTAAAGTCACTATAATTAAGAAACATGCAACCAATCACAACTAAAAGATATCTCAACCAAAATACACAGCAGACGATAGACACAGAATAACCAGACATTTTAGATTCATATAAGAAGATAAAAAAGCCTTACACTGCTGCGACTGACATTTCAGATGTTAACCTGAATACTCAACAGAAGATTCGTAATCTCATTTGTCCACTGTTGAATCTCAGTATGGTCACCGAAAGAGACTAACAACAACATTATGCAAGTGAAGCATTGAAAAAAGAATAGCGAATATTCTAGTCACTAGAACAAATATAGCAGTTGAACCGACCTGAAAAATTCACTTTTGAGAACAAAATTTGGCACCTGATGATTCTGAAAGCTTTTTAAAAGAAAAAACCTCCAAGTAGCAGTCAACTGCAGACAAGTAAATGATGAGTTTGACAACGTTCCTCAACTGTTACCACACACACACACACACACACACACACTTATCACATTTACACAAAATGAACTATTGGTCACCCGCAAAAAACAGCCATCAACATTATTAGCTAGCAGAAACGCTTCGATTCACATAATTCTACCAAATGTATACAGATAAAAAATCGATTCCATAAGTGACGTGCTCAAAATCATATATACAAAAATACATTACAAACACCAACAATATCTGTTTCAGCAGAAGGCACACCAATATTATCATAAAAAGATAACCCACTGCCGTTTCAATTTTCATTCAACGGAGACAACAAAAAACTTCATCATTATAAATATCATCCACCCAAAACAAAAATATTCGTCCTCTGCACATCCAAAAACCACAACACAACCAAACAATAACCACACTCAGCCACCATAACAATAGCCAGGAAAGCAATCTGCCAAAAACGAATAATTCGAAAACCACACGCTTAGATAACACAACAACTATCAAACACTCATTTTGATTAACTATTCATCAAAGTCACGACCGTTTCTCAAACCTGACAACAGGCCTCATCACCACCATACAACTCTCATATCTCCACCCATCGATGCATTTCGTTTCCCATAGCGACACACACACAAGACCCAGGTCTGGCTATTCACATAAACCCGGATCACATACTTATAAAGCTATCGATGAACAGACACATATGCAACACCTGTGGACACTCCCACTGTGCTCCAGTTTCCGCAAACCTATATGTCTACCACCAAACCGATATTGGTAGGTAGGTGGTAGGTAGTAAGAGTGGGAATCACTTATAAATACAACAAGTACAAATATTTACAAATACATAAGACAAAAATACCATCCTCATGTAGGAAATACTAAACTGGACCACCATTTTGTAAGCTAATCATGATCCAATCAGAACACACTACAATAGTCATCTCTCCTGGGGGAAGCAAGTATGCAACAAACTACACAACACAAACTTTCACTTCCTTATCCAAACACTAGATACATTAAGTAGACAATTTCTAAACAACATACTTTTTGACTCCGACTCGAACGTCTATTAGGTGGTTCTTGAGGAACAGGTACGTCAACAGGTAAGTCTTCATCCTCTTCAAGTAGTCTATCGACAGATGCTTCTCTTTTCCCAGTCCTCGAGACAGGCAATTCACTCGCACTCGACTGATTACTCTTACTGACCGTCTTCTGCTATGAAGTATAACAACAACATAGGTAAATAAATAAAAACAAAATGTAACATCATCAAAGTACTTCCAATTAGTCGAAACACCTGCAGATAACCGACCACAGTGTCTACGGGACTACTGTGAGTATTGTTATAACACCTCTTGGTCAATAAGAATAAAGTGTTGGCTAACAATCCTGGTTAATATTGGTGTAAACTTTGGCACTGTGGTAGTAAGTAATTCCATATTAGCTTTGTTTATTAGCTATATCACATGTCACCATCCTGGTTGACTGACTCACATTACTCATGAGAGTCGGAATCCCATATTTAATTGTTGCACCTATTCCCCAATCCCCTATAGGAAAGTCTCTAGTCAGTCACTTTTCATACCTTATCTATTCCCCCCCCCCCATGGCAAATGCAATTTCACTTCCACAGACTGCTGCTTTTCACTCATATTTATTCCAAACAACTCAATACATAAATTATCATTAAATAAATCAGATCATAGAACGTTTCTCCCACCAGTTATTAATTACCATTAGAAATCCACTCACCTCACACTGCGAAATCTGATGACTTCTAATTCTTCACACAATAACATTCAATGTCATCACCAGTCAATGAGTCAGTCATACCAACTTGTCCTTACGCCTTTTATTCAACAACACAGCTATACAACTGTGTCACACAGACACACACACACAATGAATTACTGTCATTCTGCTTCTATTCCCTATCTCCATTTATGTGACAATCACACGACCCACAGTTGCCATCTTCACCTGGTCATGGTCAGTCTTCCACGTCACAACGAACCGGTGGGCTACGCCCGCAGGAACCATCCATCCGGATAACGGTTAGACAAAAAGCACATATCATTATACTACTGTGAGTTTCTCACACTACGTTGGGGTTCTCAGGGTTAAGCCGTGCGTCTTGGCAATGCGGCTGCAGCAGCAGTTAGGTGTTTCTCTCGGACAAACTGAAACCAGCCTATATTAGCTCCATACCGAAAACCACACACACCAACTTACTTACGAGCGATCCTAGCCCCTGGTTACACATCTTTACATGGACACAACTCCGAAAACACTTCAAACTCAACTTGTGTCACTGGCCTTAGGCAGTTGTCCCTTCGACTCAACGTCACGCAGTTTTAGTACTCCTTCTCTTCCACACACCCCAAAAGCAAACAAACTTCCACGCTGTGGTGTCAACAACCAGGAAGTAGTAATAAACCCCTACACACTTTCGTAACCACACAAGACTTTCCTCACTATTAACTACCCACCTTTGTCTAGTTGCTTTACACCACCCACTGTTAACACTCTCCCACTAGCAGCTCCGCCACCTTCTCTTATCTCCCCAACAACAATAGAGACAGAGAGGCAGACCAAAACCCCAAAACACTACTGACGGTCGCTGAAACCACGCTGCCAGCTTCATATCGATGAAGTATTCATCAAAGTCACGACCGTTTCTCAAACCTGACAACAGGCCTCATCACCACCATACAACTCTCATATCTCCACCCATCGATGCATTTCGTTTCCCATAGCGACACACACACAAGACCCAGGTCTGGCTATTCACATAAACCCGGATCACATACTTATAAAGCTATCGATGAACAGACACATATGCAACACCTGTGGACACTCCCACTGTGCTCCAGTTTCCGCAAACCTATATGTCTACCACCAAACCGATATTGGTAGGTAGGTGGTAGGTAGTAAGAGTGGGAATCACTTATAAATACAACAAGTACAAATATTTACAAATACATAAGACAAAAATACCATCCTCATGTAGGAAATACTAAACTGGACCACCATTTTGTAAGCTAATCATGATCCAATCAGAACACACTACAATAGTCATCTCTCCTGGGGGAAGCAAGTATGCAACAAACTACACAACACAAACTTTCACTTCCTTATCCAAACACTAGATACATTAAGTAGACAATTTCTAAACAACATACTTTTTGACTCCGACTCGAACGTCTATTAGGTGGTTCTTGAGGAACAGGTACGTCAACAGGTAAGTCTTCATCCTCTTCAAGTAGTCTATCGACAGATGCTTCTCTTTTCCCAGTCCTCGAGACAGGCAATTCACTCGCACTCGACTGATTACTCTTACTGACCGTCTTCTGCTATGAAGTATAACAACAACATAGGTAAATAAATAAAAACAAAATGTAACATCATCAAAGTACTTCCAATTAGTCGAAACACCTGCAGATAACCGACCACAGTGTCTACGGGACTACTGTGAGTATTGTTATAACACCTCTTGGTCAATAAGAATAAAGTGTTGGCTAACAATCCTGGTTAATATTGGTGTAAACTTTGGCACTGTGGTAGTAAGTAATTCCATATTAGCTTTGTTTATTAGCTATATCACATGTCACCATCCTGGTTGACTGACTCACATTACTCATGAGAGTCGGAATCCCATATTTAATTGTTGCACCTATTCCCCAATCCCCTATAGGAAAGTCTCTAGTCAGTCACTTTTCATACCTTATCTATTCCCCCCCCCCATGGCAAATGCAATTTCACTTCCACAGACTGCTGCTTTTCACTCATATTTATTCCAAACAACTCAATACATAAATTATCATTAAATAAATCAGATCATAGAACGTTTCTCCCACCAGTTATTAATTACCATTAGAAATCCACTCACCTCACACTGCGAAATCTGATGACTTCTAATTCTTCACACAATAACATTCAATGTCATCACCAGTCAATGAGTCAGTCATACCAACTTGTCCTTACGCCTTTTATTCAACAACACAGCTATACAACTGTGTCACACAGACACACACACACACAATGAATTACTGCCATTCTGCTTCTATTCCCTATCTCCATTTATGTGACAATCACACGACCCACAGTTGCCATCTTCACCTGGTCATGGTCAGTCTTCCACGTCACAACGAACCGGTGGGCTACGCCCGCAGGAACCATCCATCCGGATAACGGTTAGACAAAAAGCACATATCATTATACTACTGTGAGTTTCTCACACTACGTTGGGGTTCTCAGGGTTAAGCCGTGCGTCTTGGCAATGCGGCTGCAGCAGCAGTTAGGTGTTTCTCTCGGACAAACTGAAACCAGCCTATATTAGCTCCATACCGAAAACCACACACACCAACTTACTTACGAGCGATCCTAGCCCCTGGTTACACATCTTTACATGGACACAACTCCGAAAACACTTCAAACTCAACTTGTGTCACTGGCCTTAGGCAGTTGTCCCTTCGACTCAACGTCACGCAGTTTTAGTACTCCTTCTCTTCCACACACCCCAAAAGCAAACAAACTTCCACGCTGTGGTGTCAACAACCAGGAAGTAGTAATAAACCCCTACACACTTTCGTAACCACACAAGACTTTCCTCACTATTAACTACCCACCTTTGTCTAGTTGCTTTACACCACCCACTGTTAACACTCTCCCACTAGCAGCTCCGCCACCTTCTCTTATCTCCCCAACAACAATAGAGACAGAGAGGCAGACCAAAACCCCAAAACACTACTGACGGTCGCTGAAACCACGCTGCCAGCTTCATATCGATGAAGTATTCATCAAAGTCACGACCGTTTCTCAAACCTGACAACAGGCCTCATCACCACCATACAACTCTCATATCTCCACCCATCGATGCATTTCGTTTCCCATAGCGACACACACACAAGACCCAGGTCTGGCTATTCACATAAACCCGGATCACATACTTATAAAGCTATCGATGAACAGACACATATGCAACACCTGTGGACACTCCCACTGTGCTCCAGTTTCCGCAAACCTATATGTCTACCACCAAACCGATATTGGTAGGTAGGTGGTAGGTAGTAAGAGTGGGAATCACTTATAAATACAACAAGTACAAATATTTACAAATACATAAGACAAAAATACCATCCTCATGTAGGAAATACTAAACTGGACCACCATTTTGTAAGCTAATCATGATCCAATCAGAACACACTACAATAGTCATCTCTCCTGGGGGAAGCAAGTATGCAACAAACTACACAACACAAACTTTCACTTCCTTATCCAAACACTAGATACATTAAGTAGACAATTTCTAAACAACATACTTTTTGACTCCGACTCGAACGTCTATTAGGTGGTTCTTGAGGAACAGGTACGTCAACAGGTAAGTCTTCATCCTCTTCAAGTAGTCTATCGACAGATGCTTCTCTTTTCCCAGTCCTCGAGACAGGCAATTCACTCGCACTCGACTGATTACTCTTACTGACCGTCTTCTGCTATGAAGTATAACAACAACATAGGTAAATAAATAAAAACAAAATGTAACATCATCAAAGTACTTCCAATTAGTCGAAACACCTGCAGATAACCGACCACAGTGTCTACGGGACTACTGTGAGTATTGTTATAACACCTCTTGGTCAATAAGAATAAAGTGTTGGCTAACAATCCTGGTTAATATTGGTGTAAACTTTGGCACTGTGGTAGTAAGTAATTCCATATTAGCTTTGTTTATTAGCTATATCACATGTCACCATCCTGGTTGACTGACTCACATTACTCATGAGAGTCGGAATCCCATATTTAATTGTTGCACCTATTCCCCAATCCCCTATAGGAAAGTCTCTAGTCAGTCACTTTTCATACCTTATCTATTCCCCCCCCCATGGCAAATGCAATTTCACTTCCACAGACTGCTGCTTTTCACTCATATTTATTCCAAACAACTCAATACATAAATTATCATTAAATAAATCAGATCATAGAACGTTTCTCCCACCAGTTATTAATTACCATTAGAAATCCACTCACCTCACACTGCGAAATCTGATGACTTCTAATTCTTCACACAATAACATTCAATGTCATCACCAGTCAATGAGTCAGTCATACCAACTTGTCCTTACGCCTTTTATTCAACAACACAGCTATACAACTGTGTCACACAGACACACACACACACAATGAATTACTGTCATTCTGCTTCTATTCCCTATCTCCATTTATGTGACAATCACACGACCCACAGTTGCCATCTTCACCTGGTCATGGTCAGTCTTCCACGTCACAACGAACCGGTGGGCTACGCCCGCAGGAACCATCCATCCGGATAACGGTTAGACAAAAAGCACATATCATTATACTACTGTGAGTTTCTCACACTACGTTGGGGTTCTCAGGGTTAAGCCGTGCGTCTTGGCAATGCGGCTGCAGCAGCAGTTAGGTGTTTCTCTCGGACAAACTGAAACCAGCCTATATTAGCTCCATACCGAAAACCACACACACCAACTTACTTACGAGCGATCCTAGCCCCTGGTTACACATCTTTACATGGACACAACTCCGAAAACACTTCAAACTCAACTTGTGTCACTGGCCTTAGGCAGTTGTCCCTTCGACTCAACGTCACGCAGTTTTAGTACTCCTTCTCTTCCACACACCCCAAAAGCAAACAAACTTCCACGCTGTGGTGTCAACAACCAGGAAGTAGTAATAAACCCCTACACACTTTCGTAACCACACAAGACTTTCCTCACTATTAACTACCCACCTTTGTCTAGTTGCTTTACACCACCCACTGTTAACACTCTCCCACTAGCAGCTCCGCCACCTTCTCTTATCTCCCCAACAACAATAGAGACAGAGAGGCAGACCAAAACCCCAAAACACTACTGACGGTCGCTGAAACCACGCTGCCAGCTTCATATCGATGAAGTATTCATCAAAGTCACGACCGTTTCTCAAACCTGACAACAGGCCTCATCACCACCATACAACTCTCATATCTCCACCCATCGATGCATTTCGTTTCCCATAGCGACACACACACAAGACCCAGGTCTGGCTATTCACATAAACCCGGATCACATACTTATAAAGCTATCGATGAACAGACACATATGCAACACCTGTGGACACTCCCACTGTGCTCCAGTTTCCGCAAACCTATATGTCTACCACCAAACCGATATTGGTAGGTAGTAAGAGTGGGAATCACTTATAAATACAACAAGTACAAATATTTACAAATACATAAGACAAAAATACCATCCTCATGTAGGAAATACTAAACTGGACCACCATTTTGTAAGCTAATCATGATCCAATCAGAACACACTACAATAGTCATCTCTCCTGGGGGAAGCAAGTATGCAACAAACTACACAACACAAACTTTCACTTCCTTATCCAAACACTAGATACATTAAGTAGACAATTTCTAAACAACATACTTTTTGACTCCGACTCGAACGTCTATTAGGTGGTTCTTGAGGAACAGGTACGTCAACAGGTAAGTCTTCATCCTCTTCAAGTAGTCTATCGACAGATGCTTCTCTTTTCCCAGTCCTCGAGACAGGCAATTCACTCGCACTCGACTGATTACTCTTACTGACCGTCTTCTGCTATGAAGTATAACAACAACATAGGTAAATAAATAAAAACAAAATGTAACATCATCAAAGTACTTCCAATTAGTCGAAACACCTGCAGATAACCGACCACAGTGTCTACGGGACTACTGTGAGTATTGTTATAACACCTCTTGGTCAATAAGAATAAAGTGTTGGCTAACAATCCTGGTTAATATTGGTGTAAACTTTGGCACTGTGGTAGTAAGTAATTCCATATTAGCTTTGTTTATTAGCTATATCACATGTCACCATCCTGGTTGACTGACTCACATTACTCATGAGAGTCGGAATCCCATATTTAATTGTTGCACCTATTCCCCAATCCCCTATAGGAAAGTCTCTAGTCAGTCACTTTTCATACCTTATCTATTCCCCCCCCCCATGGCAAATGCAATTTCACTTCCACAGACTGCTGCTTTTCACTCATATTTATTCCAAACAACTCAATACATAAATTATCATTAAATAAATCAGATCATAGAACGTTTCTCCCACCAGTTATTAATTACCATTAGAAATCCACTCACCTCACACTGCGAAATCTGATGACTTCTAATTCTTCACACAATAACATTCAATGTCATCACCAGTCAATGAGTCAGTCATACCAACTTGTCCTTACGCCTTTTATTCAACAACACAGCTATACAACTGTGTCACACAGACACACACACACACAATGAATTACTGTCATTCTGCTTCTATTCCCTATCTCCATTTATGTGACAATCACACGACCCACAGTTGCCATCTTCACCTGGTCATGGTCAGTCTTCCACGTCACAACGAACCGGTGGGCTACGCCCGCAGGAACCATCCATCCGGATAACGGTTAGACAAAAAGCACATATCATTATACTACTGTGAGTTTCTCACACTACGTTGGGGTTCTCAGGGTTAAGCCGTGCGTCTTGGCAATGCGGCTGCAGCAGCAGTTAGGTGTTTCTCTCGGACAAACTGAAACCAGCCTATATTAGCTCCATACCGAAAACCACACACACCAACTTACTTACGAGCGATCCTAGCCCCTGGTTACACATCTTTACATGGACACAACTCCGAAAACACTTCAAACTCAACTTGTGTCACTGGCCTTAGGCAGTTGTCCCTTCGACTCAACGTCACGCAGTTTTAGTACTCCTTCTCTTCCACACACCCCAAAAGCAAACAAACTTCCACGCTGTGGTGTCAACAACCAGGAAGTAGTAATAAACCCCTACACACTTTCGTAACCACACAAGACTTTCCTCACTATTAACTACCCACCTTTGTCTAGTTGCTTTACACCACCCACTGTTAACACTCTCCCACTAGCAGCTCCGCCACCTTCTCTTATCTCCCCAACAACAATAGAGACAGAGAGGCAGACCAAAACCCCAAAACACTACTGACGGTCGCTGAAACCACGCTGCCAGCTTCATATCGATGAAGTATTCATCAAAGTCACGACCGTTTCTCAAACCTGACAACAGGCCTCATCACCACCATACAACTCTCATATCTCCACCCATCGATGCATTTCGTTTCCCATAGCGACACACACACAAGACCCAGGTCTGGCTATTCACATAAACCCGGATCACATACTTATAAAGCTATCGATGAACAGACACATATGCAACACCTGTGGACACTCCCACTGTGCTCCAGTTTCCGCAAACCTATATGTCTACCACCAAACCGATATTGGTAGGTAGGTGGTAGGTAGTAAGAGTGGGAATCACTTATAAATACAACAAGTACAAATATTTACAAATACATAAGACAAAAATACCATCCTCATGTAGGAAATACTAAACTGGACCACCATTTTGTAAGCTAATCATGATCCAATCAGAACACACTACAATAGTCATCTCTCCTGGGGGAAGCAAGTATGCAACAAACTACACAACACAAACTTTCACTTCCTTATCCAAACACTAGATACATTAAGTAGACAATTTCTAAACAACATACTTTTTGACTCCGACTCGAACGTCTATTAGGTGGTTCTTGAGGAACAGGTACGTCAACAGGTAAGTCTTCATCCTCTTCAAGTAGTCTATCGACAGATGCTTCTCTTTTCCCAGTCCTCGAGACAGGCAATTCACTCGCACTCGACTGATTACTCTTACTGACCGTCTTCTGCTATGAAGTATAACAACAACATAGGTAAATAAATAAAAACAAAATGTAACATCATCAAAGTACTTCCAATTAGTCGAAACACCTGCAGATAACCGACCACAGTGTCTACGGGACTACTGTGAGTATTGTTATAACACCTCTTGGTCAATAAGAATAAAGTGTTGGCTAACAATCCTGGTTAATATTGGTGTAAACTTTGGCACTGTGGTAGTAAGTAATTCCATATTAGCTTTGTTTATTAGCTATATCACATGTCACCATCCTGGTTGACTGACTCACATTACTCATGAGAGTCGGAATCCCATATTTAATTGTTGCACCTATTCCCCAATCCCCTATAGGAAAGTCTCTAGTCAGTCACTTTTCATACCTTATCTATTCCCCCCCCCCCATGGCAAATGCAATTTCACTTCCACAGACTGCTGCTTTTCACTCATATTTATTCCAAACAACTCAATACATAAATTATCATTAAATAAATCAGATCATAGAACGTTTCTCCCACCAGTTATTAATTACCATTAGAAATCCACTCACCTCACACTGCGAAATCTGATGACTTCTAATTCTTCACACAATAACATTCAATGTCATCACCAGTCAATGAGTCAGTCATACCAACTTGTCCTTACGCCTTTTATTCAACAACACAGCTATACAACTGTGTCACACAGACACACACACACACAATGAATTACTGTCATTCTGCTTCTATTCCCTATCTCCATTTATGTGACAATCACACGACCCACAGTTGCCATCTTCACCTGGTCATGGTCAGTCTTCCACGTCACAACGAACCGGTGGGCTACGCCCGCAGGAACCATCCATCCGGATAACGGTTAGACAAAAAGCACATATCATTATTGTTGTGAACTTTTCTTATAATACGTATCTAGTCATATTCATATCTCTACCGCTATTAACACTCTTTTTTTCCTTTATATGTTTAAGCCATTCCGGCTTCATTGTAAAATGAATAAAGCCTAAATTCTTGGTTCATTCGTCTTTTCAAGATTCAAGCATCACTCATCGTTCTAAGACTCAATCACCTTCGTATTTTTTTATTCATTTTACAATATTCATGGAACGATTTTTCCGACCTGATCGGTTCGACGTAGAACCTAACGCAGTTGGAGCTGCCAAGAAGTGGGATCACTGGTTTGCGACTTTCTCCTACTTCATTGAATCAATGGGATCCGAAAATCCTTCGAAACTACATATTCTCTTCAATCATATTTCTACTTCTGTATACGAATGCATTTCTGAATGCAAAACATACGAAGAAGCTATCGACACTCTCAAGAGTCTCTACATGCAGCCTTGCAACGAAGTGTTTGCTCGACACTTGTTAGCAACGTGTAAACAAGAATCTGGCGAAAATCTGGATCAGTTTGTTCGTCGACTCAAGTCGCTGACTACAGATTGTTCATTCAGGGCAGTTACAGCCGAAGAACATCGTAACGAATCTCTACGTGATTCATTCATCTCAGGTATACAGTCTTCGATGATACGCCAGAGGCTATTAGAACAGCGTACTTTAACTTTTCAAGCGGCATACGATCAAGCACGAGCTCTAGAGATGGCACATCAACAATCGCAGTCATACAACAATCCTGTTACACCTTGCGCGTCCATTTCTTTACATGATGTACCTCATTCATCAGATTCCACACCCTCCGTCAATGAAACAACCATTGCTGCCGTTGAATCCAAATGCTTTTTCTGTGGTAATCGTAGACATCCTCGTTCCAAATGCCCCGCCCGTGATGCAGTTTGCAAAGCTTGTGGCAAGCAAGGACATTTTCAGAAGGTTTGCAGGTCTGCGCCATCTACGAAAAAAGGTCCATCTTCAGTTAACTCTATAATTTCATCTCTCGTTGTGGCTTCAGCACCTCAAAGTCTCACTGATGCTGTTACGCAGCTTACTGTCAATGGGAAATCAATGCAAGCTCTAGTGGATACCGGAAGCAGTGAGAGCTACATCTCTTCCTCAGTTGTTCGTAAGTATAACTGGAAAGTCCATAAGTCTCGAAACAGAATCACAATGGCGAGTACGAATCTTACTAGTCATACTGAAGGACATTGTTTTCTATCCATCTGCTATAAAAACCACACTTATGATCTATTCAAATTTTCCATTCTTCATAATTTATGTGCAGACGTCCTTCTTGGACATGATTTTTTAAAACTTCACAAACACATTGAGATTCCTTTTGGGGGATCAAAGCCGCCTTTTTCTCTCTGTGGTCTACCTTGTGTTCGCGTCGACCTGCCTACCCTGTTTGAAAATCTTTCAAAAGACTGTAAACCGATCGCGATAAAATCCCGGCGTTATTCTCGTGAAGATGAAAGTTTTATTTCCACCGAAGTCAACCGGTTACTGCAAGAAGGTGTTATTGAACCTTCTAATTCTCCTTGGCGAGCTCAAGTTCTTGTTACGTCAAACGAACGCCATAAAAAGAGGATGGTAGTTGATTATAGTCAGACAATCAATCGATTCACTTTTCTGGATGCTTACCCATTACCTAGGATTGACGAAATGATAGAAAAAATCGCACAATATGACATATTCAGCACTCTTGATCTGAAGAATGCTTATCATCAAATTGCCCTAAGGAACGAAGATAAACCATATACTGCTTTCGAGGCTTGTGGGAAACTTTACCAATTTTGCCGAATTCCTTTTGGTGTTACCAATGGCGTAGCTTGTTTTCAACGCATTATCGATGAATTGATCAGTAAAGAACAACTCACAAGCACGTTTGCCTACATTGACAATGTCACTATCTGCGGCAAAACTCAGGAGGAACACGACAAAAATCTAAACAAGTTTATGGTAGCAGCACGCAATTATGGAATAACCCTTAATGATTCCAAAAGTGTGATCTCAAGCAGAAGCATACAATTACTCGGTTATGAAGTTTCAAAGGGGGTTATTAAACCAGATCCCGATCGGCTAAAACCTCTTCGTGATCTAGAACCACCCACAGATATCAAATCTCAACAACGGGCCGTTGGATTATTTGCTTATTATTCACAGTGGATCCCTCGCTTCTCAGATAAAATCCACCCATTGGTAAATAATCGGATTTTCCCTCTTGATATCGAAACTCGAAATGCTTTTGACAAACTGAAAGACGACTTAGAACGTGCAGTCGTTGTGGTAGTTGATCCGAAAGCACCCCTTGTTGTTGAAACAGATGCTTCAGATGTCTCAATTGCAGCTACATTAAACCAGAATGGTAAACCTGTCGCCTTCTTTTCTCGAAGCCTCTCTCGAAGTGAGAAACATCATTCATCGGTTGAGAAAGAAGCCTATGCCGTGGTTGAAGCAATTCGTAAGTGGAAGCATTACCTTCTCGGAAATCACTTCAAACTTGTCACTGATCAACGTTCAGTAGCATTCATGTTTGACAAGATTCATAAAGGCAAAATCAAGAACGATAAAATAATGCGTTGGAGAATTGAGCTATCCCCTTATCAATATGACATCATTTATCGTCCTGGAAGGGATAATCAAGCTGCTGATACATTTTCCCGTAGTTTCTGCGGTTCCTTGCAGTCAGTGTGCGACTTGAAATTTCTCCATGACTCTATGTGCCATCCTGGAGTTGTCCGAATGATGCATTTTGTACGCTCGAGAAACCTTCCATTCTCCCTTGACGAGGTGCGCAATGTAACCAGTAAATGCGTGACATGCTGTGAGTTAAAGCCTCAATTTTACAATCCCTCTAATTTCAAACTCATAAAAGCAACCCAACCTTTTGAAAGGTTAAGCATCGACTTTAAAGGACCTCTACCGTCAGCTAGCCGCAATCACTATCTGCTCACGCTGATCGATGAATATTCTCGATTCCCCTTTGCATTCGCCTGCCCCGACATGTCGTCTCAAACGGTAATGAATTGCCTTTGCCAACTGTTTTCGATTTTCGGTATGCCTTCTTACATACATACCGACAGAGGCGCTGCTTTCATGTCTACCGAATTACGGGCATTTCTTCTGGAGAAAGGCGTAGCAACCAGTCGTACTACCTCATACAATCCTCAAGCCAATGGGCAGGTCGAGCGCCTCAATGGAACACTTTGGCGTGCCATCACTCTAGCATTAAGATCACGGGGCCTACCAACGGCACAATGGGAGTCTGTTCTACTCGACGCCTTGCATTCCATCAGATCTTTGCTCTGTACTGCAACGAACGCCACGCCACACGAACGACTGTTTACCTATAACCGAAGATCGACATCTGGGACAACTCTTCCTACTTGGCTCACTGTGCCAGGACCAGTACTTCTCCGGCGGAGTGTTCGTCAGTCCAAATTCGATCCCCTGGTTGAAGAGGTGGAGCTATTGAATTGTAACCCGCAATTCGCTCACGTTCGCTTCGGTAATGGACGTGAAGATACAGTTGCTCTTCATCATCTGGCACCCAAAGGCGAAGATATAGATCAAGTTGAAAATTCAATACCGGAGGGCGACGCAATTCCTGAGCAACAAGTAAATGGGGATGCGACCACTGATCCTAATATTCTTCGTGAAGAAAATACAACTGAAACGAACAACGGGCGTATTCTTTTGGAAAAACAACAACGTGTACGGCCTTACAATTTGCGTACCAGAGAAGCGTGACATAATGGCTCATTCCTTTTCAAGCCGCAGTGAATGTTGTGAACTTTTCTTATAATACGTATCTAGTCATATTCATATCTCTACCGCTATTAACACTCTTTTTTTCCTTTATATGTTTAAGCCATTCCGGCTTCATTGTAAAATGAATAAAGCCTAAATTCTTGGTTCATTCGTCTTTTCAAGATTCAAGCATCACTCATCGTTCTAAGACTCAATCACCTTCGTAACAATTATACTACTGTGAGTTTCTCACACTACGTTGGGGTTCTCAGGGTTAAGCCGTGCGTCTTGGCAATGCGGCTGCAGCAGCAGTTAGGTGTTTCTCTCGGACAAACTGAAACCAGCCTATATTAGCTCCATACCGAAAACCACACACACCAACTTACTTACGAGCGATCCTAGCCCCTGGTTACACATCTTTACATGGACACAACTCCGAAAACACTTCAAACTCAACTTGTGTCACTGGCCTTAGGCAGTTGTCCCTTCGACTCAACGTCACGCAGTTTTAGTACTCCTTCTCTTCCACACACCCCAAAAGCAAACAAACTTCCACGCTGTGGTGTCAACAACCAGGAAGTAGTAATAAACCCCTACACACTTTCGTAACCACACAAGACTTTCCTCACTATTAACTACCCACCTTTGTCTAGTTGCTTTACACCACTCACTGTTAACACTCTCCCACTAGCAGCTCCGCCACCTTCTCTTATCTCCCCAACAACAATAGAGACAGAGAGGCAGACCAAAACCCCAAAACACTACTGACGGTCGCTGAAACCACGCTGCCAGCTTCATATCGATGAAGTATTCATCAAAGTCACGACCGTTTCTCAAACCTGACAACAGGCCTCATCACCACCATACAACTCTCATATCTCCACCCATCGATGCATTTCGTTTCCCATAGCGACACACACACAAGACCCAGGTCTGGCTATTCACATAAACCCGGATCACATACTTATAAAGCTATCGATGAACAGACACATATGCAACACCTGTGGACACTCCCACTGTGCTCCAGTTTCCGCAAACCTATATGTCTACCACCAAACCGATATTGGTAGGTAGGTGGTAGGTAGTAAGAGTGGGAATCACTTATAAATACAACAAGTACAAATATTTACAAATACATAAGACAAAAATACCATCCTCATGTAGGAAATACTAAACTGGACCACCATTTTGTAAGCTAATCATGATCCAATCAGAACACACTACAATAGTCATCTCTCCTGGGGGAAGCAAGTATGCAACAAACTACACAACACAAACTTTCACTTCCTTATCCAAACACTAGATACATTAAGTAGACAATTTCTAAACAACATACTTTTTGACTCCGACTCGAACGTCTATTAGGTGGTTCTTGAGGAACAGGTACGTCAACAGGTAAGTCTTCATCCTCTTCAAGTAGTCTATCGACAGATGCTTCTCTTTTCCCAGTCCTCGAGACAGGCAATTCACTCGCACTCGACTGATTACTCTTACTGACCGTCTTCTGCTATGAAGTATAACAACAACATAGGTAAATAAATAAAAACAAAATGTAACATCATCAAAGTACTTCCAATTAGTCGAAACACCTGCAGATAACCGACGGGGGTTCCTGTAGGATTACAGATGGAGGTATTTGCATAATGGAGTATAACGATATCTCAGTTTTAGTGATGTTTGTGAGGTGTCTCCAATATCTTTGTGGTATGCTCCACATTTTTCAAGCAAGGTTCGATAAGGGTTACTGGTTGTGGTAGCGTGACTGACCAACCATGCAACGTTTTTTTTTCATTTTGCTAAAGGATTTTATAGTCTAGGTAATAAAGAAATTTTTTCCTATCTTCAGTGGTCCCAACACCTGTTGTATGTGGTGAACGTAAACACTATGACTAACGCAATACATGGACAGCTGAATATACCTCCTGGCGAGAGCCGTTTTATCACTGAAAGGAACATTCATCTCACTCTCACTTTATTCAAGCAGAAAAATAAATCCATATAGAATGGTACACACCTAAGGATTGAGATGTGAAGAGACAAATTTATAGCCTAATGGATAGACATGCGCCAGACACAAAACAAGACTAGCAAGTGTGTGGAACTTTAATCGCTGAGTGAATATGCGATGGCAGACAATTTTGAGTGCAATCTTACATTTGGCCTCCGACTATCCTGAGTCACAGACAGACGGTCTATGATACAACAGGCAGCGACCGCACAGGTTGCTACAAAGAAGGATACACTTCAAAGTTCCAAATGCATGGTATGGCTGAATATCAGTGTCTAATGATTTGGGAAGAAAGGCTAAACAGTTCTACTGATGGTAGTGTTAATCTGACTGTGCTCATGCAGTACAACAGGCAAATGTTGGTAGTTACATCCGAGAACTCACTAGATGCCTAGTCTTCATGAGACTATTTAGTCAAATGTTTTCAAAGTTCATATAACTTAAAACCGTTATTATTATACTCACCTTAATATAGCTAGCACGTTTGCGAGGTGGTTCGAAATCAGAAGTATCCACCGGTATTCGACGCTTTTGTTCCAAAACAGCAGTTGTTGCCTCGGGAGTGTTCTCTTTCAAGGTGTGAGAATCATTTTGGTGGCAAATATTCCTACTCTTTCGGGAAACCTACAAGGAAATATCTTAGGGTTTAACACTGAAACCAAACAATTTCATACGAATATTAAAGTCTACATTTCATTGCGTTGCTCATACACACAGCAGGTGACTTATATGACTTTCAACTTCAGCTGACTATACTGTTCAACAGTTAATGGTCCACCATTCGTAGCTAATGTCCAAAACAAATTTACAGGCAAAAACACTGATTTTTAATGTACACTTCAACAGAACGGATATATGGTATATGAGTGCTGTGACATAACCGGATATCAATGAAGTGTAAAATCTCCTTAAGTTTGTTTTTTGTTTCTTTGATTATGGCTTGAAACCACACAGCATTTTGGTACAAGTATGGAATTTTTCAGCATGGATATCGGTAGCCGAAATTTCGGAGGCCAACCATAGATATCAGGGGTGCATCGGCAGGGGATCGAACCCCGGACCATGTGCATGGTCGGCGAGTCCTAACCGCTGTGCCACCGACGCATAAATCCCAAAGAAACCGTTTGTATTTATGCTGATATTTCGCCAGCAACGCGTTCACTAGTGCTGATGAAACTACATACAAGCGACATGGTCAACGCAATTAGCCACTTCACTATTACTAATGTATGAGTCGGTGCAGTCTAATCCTGTGTCAGGGAAGTTTTAGAAATTGCGAAGCACATACCAGTTACACATAGATGAAATGTGACGGTTGACGAGAGCCATGTACAGAGATACACACCGTATGCATCAAGTCACAATGAACTGCACAGATGACACTAGCCACACATTCCGACCTTGACGTAACTTCTATTAGCACGACTGCTCACCATTTTCGTGCTAAGTACTGTAAAGAGGCACTTGAAAGAACGTACCTTTCATCAAGGGGACAGATATCAGCACATTCACTGTGTGAACCCATGTTTGCCACAACCAACTAGATCCATTAATTTACTTTAAAAAATGGACATTGAAAAACTAAATTTAGGCTTATAAATCTATCCTTAAGACAGTGGCTAGCAACCCAGTACTTAGCAGTGTTTATTTCACAAGGGTGAGAGGGCAAGAAAAGCCGGCCCAAACTTATCTTAAAAACAACGTGAAAAGACAAACTTCCTCAATGGATACACATTGAATAAGTTGGACCAGAAATCTCTATCCAACTTCATGATACACTACTGAAAATACCAGTGTACTAAAACACCCATCCTGACATTAATTCAGAAATAGGGGGTCAATATATATACCCGTTTTACTTACATTTACCAGTACCGACTGTTTAATACTCTTCCTCCTACTTCTCAGTTGTCGTTTTGACTTTCCTGTGTCCTTTAGCACTGTCAACGGAGACCTGGAGCCTGAGTTTTGATACGTTTTGGTACGATTTAAGGGACTATGTTCACACCTGCTAGAGTGTATACTCACTTTTGCCTGGCGCTTTTGAGTCACCGGAGTCGCAGACAAAGCAAGAGTACTTTCAATCCTTTAAAAGTAAATAATTAAGTGACAGTAGCTTACTGTTCCTGATTGAGTCTAATTACTTTCACATTTCCTATGGTATTACATATCTCTTGAAGCGTAGACCAACAGTGTTCTTCGATTTGCTTTGAAATAGCCTTAATAACATCCTCAGCCCGCAGAAATTGCCGATACAGCTCCATCAGGAGGAATCTATACGGCGCGGCTATACGAACTGTAACATCCTGCAACCGTTCAAACACACAACGTTCAATACACATTTCCATCCAATATCCAATATCGCTTTAACGATATTGCACATGAAAGGTATGAGACTTAGATAATGTTCACTGTGACTCACAACTAAGGGAATATTTATCTGAGTTTTACCGTGCATGAAGTACACTGTCAGTGCACAGAACAATGTCTTACGATTTTATTGTATTGAATGTCAACTGTTTGGTCGTATACACTAAAATTGTGATGAAACTAGTGAAAAAATACTCATTTTTCGTATGGGCGATGAAAAATTTAGTTAAATTTCCAGCATGTGATATGGGTAGCCCAAACTTTTCAGGCCGACCTTAGATATCAGGTGTGCGCCGGTAGGGGATCAACCACAGACCATGTGCATGGTCGGCGAGAGTTCTAACCGCTGTGCTACCGACGCACATATCTAAATGCTTGTATTATGTCGTTAACAGACGGGTAGGTTTGCGTCTTCATAAGAAATCTGCAAACCACTCATTTCCGGTGCTTTTCAAGCTTAATTCTATTTAGGAAGCTAGGACTAATCTGATTTCTGGTAAGATAGTAGGCTCTTCAACATTCTACCCTGACATCAGGGTCGCACCTGACTTATCACCATACCAAATACGATGTCGCTCAGGAACACTGAATGCTGATAACCCCCAAAGAACAAGATGATGTTTCATGCAGTGCTCTGTCCAGTGGTGTGCCTGTTAACCACGTGCATCAGACATTTTCCCGGTCACTGACAAATATTAGCCAAGTGGTGTATAAAAATACTGTTGCTGAAACTGAAATGGTATACATAAATGGATCAACAGAAAATAATGCTAAAATACACCCTTTTTACACTGACACAAATGTCAGGGGTCACAAAAAATCAAAACCCCATCCCACTCGTGTTCCACCTATCCCCTTATAAATCACTTCTCAGTCCGAAAATCCATTCACTGTGAAGTACCAGCACAGTGTATCTACCCATGTTAGAAAGTCCCCTAAGAGTTACGACAAACGTCTCACTTCTATGAAGCGCTGGAGGTGTATAAACAACAGAAACCCTGCATAACATTTTCTAACTGCTCTGTTAGCAACAATCAGCCAGGTAAACATCAGGAAGCAGACATCGAAGTAAATAAATCAAATTCCGAACCCAGGGAACGAAAGCCAACTCATATGACGGACGCAAGTACATCTGAGTCATCTTGATAAAAGAAAGTCAACTATGATAGATCAAGCTCCTAGAGGTATGCCTAATTGGTCACAAGTGGAAATCTAATTATATCTAACCATTACTTCATGATAAACAACACAACAAGATAATCGGCATTACTCTGCTCATCCACCACGTGAACTCGTTGTTAGCCATTCCCCTTTGAATATTCTATCAACTAAAAGCAATAGAAAATCCTCTGAACATCGACTACATACTACATTCAGTAAGCCGAATAATCCCACAGAACCTATTGATACATTTTATGTATTTAGTAGTGAGCATGTGCCTATGTCTGCACAAAACTCGTTATGTTTTGATAACCACCTTAACCAGATGACAAGACTTCACTCCTATTCTGGCAACAAATCGCCGAATACTCACATCGATCATGACTTTCTCAATGACACTGCCTCTACTAGCCCCTTCGAGCAAGATTTTCACCAGCACCAGTCAACGGAAACATTCATCACACATGTAGCACGCATGGTGTCGGATCGATTCCCTGCTGGCATAGCGAACAGTCTACATCTAAGACAAGGCTTATTCCCCAGAAGATAACTGACAGTGTCGGCACCAAACAAGGATACTAATATCTTTAATAATCACATATGTGTCCGTCATTCTGTACCCTGTACAAACGACAGATCATCCCGACCACCACCTTACAAACCTTCCTGAAGTCTTACTATGATATGAGGATGGTCAATGAGCCTAAAAACATGTAAACAGGGATAGCCCAGGAGTATTCTATCTAAATGTTATCTGCGCACTGAAACCACGTAACCAGTGTCTATATATTACCCTCGTAAAGACTGAGGTTATCCGGCCTGCTCAAGGTCATGGGAAGAGCAAGGCACCTGAAGGTCACCTCCGTCTCTTTTAGCCAGCCATGTTGGATTGACGTTCCTTAGCCGTTCATTTACCCATTAGATTTCACGTTTATCCTGGCCAACTCTAAAGAAAAGCAGCCCAAACCAAACGACCTAGCGAACCCTTCGCAAAGGATATATTGAGGCGATCCCTAATCGCAGTGCAGGTGTATTATTGCCTGTTGTCCAGCGCTTAGTGCTGCCTGAGACCGCAATTCACACAGATGAATGGGGTAGGTAAGGTCAATTGTCGAATTTCTGATATACTCACCATGTAGTCAACCACACAAACAGTTTTCGCAATCCTTTGGATGGAACTCACGCTGGTTCCGTCGAAAGGTTTTGCGGTCACCTGAAAAAACGGATTAAATCGGTGAATAGATAAAAATCCAATGATACACAGTTATCTGGATGAGTTTATGTACAGAACTTGGTTTAACACGAGTATGAAAGCTCCCATGAGAAATTAGGTTTTTCTGGAACATTTACGGAACGCCAGACTCGGAAACTAATTTTTAACATTCCATTACTTATATATAAACGGTTTTTCCAATAATGTGCCGTTTTTGAGCTTTCTAAATGGTCGAAGTTGTACTTGTCAAGGTCATTTGTGAGTTCACTAGGTCGTTTCGGTTCGGGCTGCTATACTTTAGAAGTGCAGTTTCTGTTGCAGTCAGAATTAGTTATTTCGTTGTCTTCGAAAGCTTTTACCCCCGCGTAGGCCTGGTTATGGCTTTTGAGATTAAGGTCCTGGCTCTATGGATAAGGCTAGCTTTAGGGTTAATGCTAGGATTAGGAGTAAAGATTGTGGTTAGAGTATGAAGTGGATCGGGTAATACTGTCAGTAATATCACTACATCCCAAAGTACAATAATCCCCACAGTCACCTGGATGATTTGGTACATCGCGCACAGTATGACTGCCTCATATATCAGCTTTCGATTGGCTCGGAGACATTCTTACAACACACAAGCTACAAGTATGCAGTCTAGTATCATGTTCGCAATATATTTCAGTGTTTGATTTCAACGGTTATACGAACGTTTTGCATCCGATTACTGACTGGTTGTTTATGGTCACTGTGTTTGTGTCTCTGTATCATATCCTATCAGGAACCATTTCATGTTCCGATGCATGGTTTCGGATGTAAAAAGAATCCTTCAATAGAATTTGTACGACTTCCAAATATAGGATCTACTAATTCAGAAGAATGACTGACTTTATGATGAAAATAGGCTAATTGTGACAATTGTGAATGACATTCCACACATCCGTATGAATGACAGCGCCTAAAAGAATCATTGATTGTATTGTTCATATTAAAACACCTACGTGAAAATTGCTACAAAGACATTTAACAGCATTTGTCAATGTAGTTGAAGACTGAACGATCAATTCATGGTTGTTTTCCCAAACCCAACTCCTCGATATTTTTCGCGGGAGACATAAATGTGACAGTCATCGTTTCATCGTTTGCTGTTCGGTGGAGGACAGGAAACTATCAGGAGTATTATCGTGATTTATTGTTACAACGTTTATTCTTAAACATTTTGCGTAATGACCTAATTGTTGGTTACATATTGGTGTAAGAATCAAGCATTCCTGAGTCACCAATTTGTGTTCTGGTATTTTGCGTTGGTTATTACGCATATTTCCTGAAAGTATTCCAAGGACAGTGTGAAGTCCAGTGTACTTAAGCATGGACATTGACAGTTTCTGATTATTTTCATATAAGTATTCGTCTTATTTGTTGTCAATTCGTCTTTCCCTCGCGTCTGCCTGTCTTCTCTGGACGAGTGTCATTCGCAACTGATCAGTAGATATGGTGGTGGTCACTGAGGTGAATCGCTCCATTCTGCAGGAACAGCAATATGCAATTTGACGGCTCGAGATATTTCTGATTTTTATGAGGGCTTAGATCTTTATCTTGAAAAAGATAATAATGAACGCCTAGACAGATCATGCTTCTGCCTTTAAATATATACCATTCGCTCAGCCTATTGTTGAGACGCGACCACATGGGCTCTGCACAGATTTTTGGGGCATCTTATAAATTAACCTGCTATCCATCGTCGGATCTATGAATATCACTTCACAATGTCTTATCTCATTCATTTTCTAATAATGTCTTTACTCGATCCTCATTATATTCCATTAAACCTAAAATTTTATAGCTCTTTATGAATTTGTTTCGACTCCTTCTATTCCTATTCTCTGTAGAGTACGGTTGTGCACCAAATGCACAAAAAGGCATAAAATATAAAAAGAACCGGCATGGGGATAAATGTATTAAAACCAAAAGTGGACATCATGATAGTAAGAGCTATGCGGGAAGCATTATACATTGCAAATGAACGTTATCAGCCTGGGGAGTTTCCTTTATTAATGCATTTATTAGTGATACTTGCACTTACCCATTTCATTACACTTTATTGATTCACCTCAGCACTTTTACTTTTCTAAAACAGCTTTCATTCCCTTGTAAACGTCGTACTTACCTCAATATTGGTTGGTTATCGTATGCCGACAACCACGGGATGAAAACGAAACGAAGTCGATTTTCCCGCTCAACCTGGAGGACAACTGTACAATTCAACAACTATGCGGCCTGGTTCAGACAATCAGTGTACTTATATATATATCAAATATTTATCTGTTTAAACATTATTAACTTGTAGACAATCTACAATTTGATATTATATCATACTTGATCGTGCCTGTAAAAATGGCATGCATTTTCATGTAAATTTATGTTTATATGAGAATACACATTATAATTATAACTTTTCTGGATTGTTTGGTCAATTTCAGTAATAATTGGGTCAGAGGAAGGACAAAGCGTTTTGGTAGCGGAAACGAAAGTAAATAATGATGATTTGCCTGTTATATGTGATAATGTGTCTGATGGTAAGCATGATAAGATTGATGCCCATGTTT